TCTGGGAAAAATAACAGGCTTCGTACCATCCATTTCGCCTTCTCCACATTTTTAAATGCCCATCTAGAGATCGTAGAGCAAATCTACACTCATCTGTAAAACGTACAGCAGACCAATCGTCCAAAGACTAATGGCTGTATTCTCGAGTAAATGCGAGCCGTTTAACTCTGTGTTCTGGTCAATTCTGGTCCTCTTACGGGAGGAAAAGCCATCAGTCCATACTGATTTAATCTTCTTCGAGCAGTGCATTCAGAAATTTGGACACCTCAAACCTCCTGGAGCTGATGAATCGCCTGTACAACAATAAGGTACCGGTTTCGCTAAATGCTTAAAGTCAAAAAACTATCTTCCTATGGTTCTGTTATCCTAGGGCGTCCAGAAGTGGGCCTTCTATGGTAGGACCCAGTTTCTCGAAAACGTCTGACGTGCGGCGTCGCGCAGTGTTTCATAGGGAACACCTATGGCAATAGCCGCATACCTAAAGCGGCCCATAGACGATCAATATTATTGCACAATATTTTGGGTTGTGCAATTTAATTGATCGTGTGTAGACGATATTGAAAGTTTGCGCAATACATTGCATGATTGACGAAAAGTTGAAAATATATTGTACAACCTGGAAAATATTGCACCGTCTGTTGGCATTATTGCGCAATATCAGTCAGTTTGTGAAGTATCAACAAGTGCACAAAATATTGTACAAACTTCAATATCGTCTTCAAACTATTCAAGTTTATTGCACAAACAAGATTTTGTGCATTATTGAACGTTAAGGGGCAACCGTCAAATTATTGTGCAATCTATATTGTACAATAATATTGACCGTCTATGGGCCGCTTAATGGAACGTCCATCATCAATAAGGGTCACACCACGCGCGACATCCTGAGCACTAATTGGCATTTTTAAGTTTAAAAACTGAAATTGAGAAAACAAAGATGAAAACTAAAAAGTTTATTGCTTCAGAATTCAAATGAGATGGAATAAACATTTTAAATTTCGTAAAAAGTAAACATTGAAAAATCATTTGTCCTTGTTTTTGATTAATGATTAAGCGTATTTACCTTCTAATTGATATTCCAAAATTAAAACTGCATAAACACATATTTATTGGTAAAAGCATGAGACAAATTAAGTGCAGAATTTTCTTTTATCGAGAAAAAAACTCAATTAGCCGAATTTTTTTGCCTGTCAGTGTATTAACAGTACATACATTAAATGCTCTTTTATCAAAAAATTAAATGTTTATTGTAATTATTTACATTAAATTTTATCTATTTGCCTGTCAATGGAACATTTTTACACCATTAAATTTCAAGGTTTATTTATATCATGTGGAAACTTTAAGGAACAGTAAATCACCTTCTGGATCGCCCTTAGTAACAAACAGCCGAAACTTATCTGGGCGGGTGGAAAAAAAAACGTAATTTGATGATTTGGCTATAACCGATAATTAATGTTTGGGCAGGACTGTATGGGGAGTAGGGGGAAAAAAACGAAGTGTGCCTTATCAGGATCAGCTCTACTGGCCATTGGCCGCTTTTTAAATTGATTCCATCCCACATATTTCTAACAGAATTCGTGCCCCCTTCTTCCTGTATAAACATTCGCAAATCAATTTCCAGCAGGCATGTTAATTTTTAATTTTTTTCTTTTTTTTTATTATTATTATTAAATTGGCCTTCTTCATGATCCGTCACGTTCTGGTCTACACTAATTCGATGATATGATGATTTATATAGTTTTTTCTTCTTTTTCTTCTTATTTTTTCTTCCGATACAGAATATTATTAAGTAATATTAAAATAAAAATCAAATCTTTTCAACAATGAGATCATTAACAAAGGTATGTTTCTTATTTATTAACAGACACGACCTCACTCCTGCAGATTACCCCCATTTCTCTTTATGGCATTATTTTAAAAAAAAATCACTTGCAAGGAGAGGCTACCATTTAATGTAAGGCTGGTGCAAAAGGAATGTAGGTTTGATTAAGACAGTCAAAACTTTTTTTAATTAGTAATTCAGATATCGTGAGATGCGGTCGGGTGTGATGTAGGTTTCAGAAAAACATTTTCTTTATCGTGCCAACGTTTCGATCTTTTATTGAGATCATCTTCAGTGCTCAAAGTGTTTGTCTTCTGTGTAATTGTGCCATCCTTGCGTGTCGTATTGAGAGTGCCTACATCACACCCGACCGCATCTCACGATATCTGAATTACTATCGATTAACGGTCACTAATCTCTACACATTTCTATTTTTAATTTTTATAAAATAAAGAAAATTTATTCGAAATATTTTCCGTCAAAATTGGCCTGGCGTTATCATGAAGAAGAACGGCCTCTTACGGTTTACCAATGCTGGACAAAGACGTTGCAGTTTCCCGTGCAATTTTGTATATTCTTGGTAATATTTCTCTGCTATGATTGTTTCGCCATAATTCTGGATATTATAGTTAACAGCTCCAGCAGTACCGCACCAAACAATTACCATAACTTTTTTGGGTGAAAATTTGGTTTCGGGAAATATTTTTGCGCTTCATCCTTGCCTTCAACTTGTTCTCTGCGACCTGTACGCCTCCTCTTATCTTAGAAAATCCATTTCTTATCGCACGTGATGATTCAATCGAGAAATGGATCATTTTGGTGGTGCAACAGAAATTTCAATTTTCGCCAATTTCAAAGCGTTGAATTCTTTGTGCTTTGGTTAGTTCTTGCAGTACCAACTAGAGCTTCTTTATTTTAGTCATTTGCTCTAGACGGTTGAGTAGTCAATACTACGCTCTTCCGCAATTTCCCGTGTTGTCTTACGTGAATTTTCTTCAATCAACGTTTTGAGTTGGTCGTCGAGCACAACAGAATACCTACCCGCGACCTCCCCTGTCGTCCAGATCGAAAACCCCAAGGCGAAATCCCTGAAACCGTTGCTGCACCGTGCATTAGCTAATGCTTCCTTCCCCCCAAATTGTATTGATGTTACTCGCGCTTTGAGCCGCACTTCGCTCAAGTTTAAATTCGTACAAATAAATTTCACGAAAATCTAGTTTAGACATACTTAATTTCTCAGGCCCTCACTCTTATAAAATTCAATATAAACTAAAATGTTTTATATAAAAAAATAACAATTAAAAGTATTTATTATAATCCATAAATAAGGTTTGAGGATTTACCTTTGTTTACATGACACCTGCGAAAATAAAACAACTTTTCAAATCCTGCATTAATTTTGCATCAACCCAATACTTAATGGGAAAGGAATTTAAAAAATGGAAGAATTGAAATATCGAGGCGTGATTTTTGATCAAAAGCAAACATGGAATATATTTGCAATAAAGTAAGTACAACTGTTCAAACACACCAGGTATGAGGCAAGCTAAGAGATTTATAAATCTCTTAAACAGGAAAGCGAAGAATTCCTCTCTTTCAGCAGGCAGGATTTGAGGAAATTATAGGCCTCCATACAGGCCACTGCCCTCTCAACTACCATCTGAAGAAGACGGGCTAATGAGAGACAGAAACTCTGACAGGAACTGAAAACAGAAACTTAAGAGACATCGACACAATGTGAAGCATTAGTCCGGTTACAGTACAGCCACTTTGGTTCTGCCGAATGTCTGACACCAAAGGAGGTCCGCGAAGAGGACCAAGGAAAGTGCTTACAAGAATACGACCAGGCTGGTCACGGATTTGGACGAAACTTTTTTTAGTGATTCTAGATTCAAAATATCAGACAAGTATACGCAACTTCTTGTAAATCGGACCCGGTTTCGTCAAAAAAAATTTTTGAAAGTTGAAATTTTCTGTTTTTTAATTTTTCTTTTTAACAACGTATATACCATTAAAATATATAAAATAGTTCTATAACAAAATACCCAAAATAGCATTTGTCAGAAATTAAACTCTTTTTTTTTAATGAAAATAATAGTCCGATTTTTTATGTTTGATACAGTTATAAAATGCAACTTGACAATTTCTTTAAAACGAATTATCAACCATGAAAATTGGTCCATTAGCTTTTGAGAAAAATTATGTTAGAGCTTGCTCTAGGAATGTCAGTTTGGCAGAAGGTTATCGAAATTATCAGTCAAAAAATTAATTTACACCGATTTCCGCGAAATTCGGCATCTAAGGGTTTTATAGCTCTAGAATCATGAATCTTACAATTTTACAATTCTCTATTTATAATGAAGCAAGAAGTTTAGCCTTGTATAACCATAGAAATATGGTCAACTGGGCCATACCGGGTAGCACACTAAACTGTTTTTCCCTCAATTTATGACAGTCTAAAAAATAGATATTCCAAGCACTTCAAAGATTACAATGATGCTACTAATCATGGTAAGCCCAAACAATTTTTGTATTGGAAGATATTTTTGTAGCATGTAGTGCACTCAATCATGGAGACACCTAATATTTAATCACCATTACATAAGACAGAAGATGCAAATTATTGACCGATGAACAGTGGTTATTACCCACTGCCAGGATGGCACAAATTTATTTGTTTCAACTCTGGTGAAGACTTTTTTAAAGTCTTAAATTCTCTAGACTTAATAAGGTTGTTTTTAATTATATTTTTATTTCTACTGTCTGTGATATTACATGAAACTAGTCTAGTCATTTCATAGTTGAAAAGGTGAAGAAAATGGTGAGGAAAAAACTTTCTGCGTTAGCATGAAAATAAAACAATTCAAGTTTATTTACTTCTGACTAAAAATCAAGCCCTGAAGAAGGTACAATAAAGTTCCGAAAGCTAGGCGAAGATTTAAAATTTAAAATATTTTATTTGGCCACATCCCTGATAACCAAGTGTCTTATCTGTATAAGATAAATCTACAAAACATCATGTGTCCTGTACATACTCGACAGGAGTTTAAAAACTAAATTAAAAATAATAAAGTTTAATTCATCCACAATATTTTTATATTCTCAGCATTATCCATTACTGACTTATGATAGACCATATTTATGATGCAGATTTAGAAAAAAAGTAACAAGCCACTTATATAAACATTTCATATTTATTTGACATATATAATGTTGATTAAGTAATTTTACAATTTATATTTTGTTCATTTGTTAATTATAGTAACAGGATTCATTCCAAAATTCATATCATTACACTGTGAGTGTCTACAATACTTCAGATAGTTCAGTTTGTACTTTAGCTGTAATTTTTCATGTTCAGGAATACTCGCAACGGCATTCTTCAGCTGATAAGGATCTTTCAGCAAATCATAGGCTTCTTCGAAGTTCTGAAATTCAATGTCAATAGATGCAGCTACATAAAGCGCAAAGCATATTTAAATCAATAAATTGAAACAAAACCAAAACAGGCAACTTTAATATGTCGATTATAATTTAAATCATCACTTTGCAGGCTACAATATCTCCCAATAATTGAAATGAAATGTTGTTTTTCAATCCTTTTAATTTAAACAAAACTTGCAGGTTTTAACCCCAAGAATTAGTGTTAAATGATTGTTTTTAAAAATGGCATTACATTATAAAACTTTTTTAAAAAATCCTAAACAAAAATAAATATGGTAAAACATTTGTTTTCTAATAACACAAAGAAAATATGTACAATTGCAATGTTTACTTTGTGACAATTATTCTCGAGATCTGCAGGGTGATGATGCTATGATAATGTTTCCAATCATCCAGATCAACCAATTTTAGCTATTTTTGACTGGCAGACTCGGGATCAGATTGGCAAATCAGGATGATTGGAAACAACAAAACTACAAATTTGTAGATTATTTGACACAAAGTAATACTTAGTAAATATCACATTTGCAAACAATATTGCAACTGTCTAGTTATAAAAAATTATAAACTTATGTATAAAGTAATTGTACCTCATTGTCAAAAAATTGACAGTAAACGGTGTCACTGTTTTGTCCAAATGAACGAATGCAATTGTAAGTATTGTTTGCAGCATCTTGACATTTGCATTGAACCTCTTTGAAGCATTCCTTAAAAGAAGATTTAATTTATCCAAAAGATAATCCAAGTTCTTTGTTAAATATTTGTGCCATTTCATTATAGTAGTGATGAAGCAAGCAAATTGCATTCTCGCTTTATTATAAATTTTCTATTATATATTGTAATAACAATATATAATAGATGTATGTAGATCCATATATTCTATAATAAATACTGTTGATGAGAAAAAATTCAACAGTTTAAATAAAATTTATTTTAACATGCAAATGTTGTTTTTGAGCTGGATATGAATTTTTTGTCAATCTGGGAAAGAGACGCATGGATTGAGTTGGGTTAATTAGGTTAGGCTAAGTTAGGTTAGGTTGGTTTGATCTGGGTTAGAATAGATTAGGTTAGGTTGTTAGGCTAGATTAGGTAAGAGAGAATGGGAGTATGCATGAACTGGGTTGGTCTGGATTAGAATTGGATTAGATTATTTAGGGGTGGGTTAGATTGAATTAGATTAGGTTGTCAGGTTGGGTTAGGTGAGAGAGAATGGGAGTACGCAAGGTTGGACTGGGTTGGGTTGGGTTAGATTAGATTAGGTTAGGTTAGGTTAAGTTAGGCTGGGTTAAGAGAATGGGGGTGCGCATGGATTGGGTTAAGCTTTTATCATAAAAACATAATCCATTAATCATTAATTGCCATCTAAAGACAAGCTGCTCAAAGATAGAAAAATATAATTTAATCTAGGTTTTGAAGCTGTTGCTTTGAGTAATAAAATAGATTCCATTATTCAGAATAGCACATACTTTTACAAAGTCTGTTTCCCTCTTATTAAAAACATTCTCAGACAGAAGTGGCCAACCAGGTAGTTCGGCCCACAGGGTCCTGTCCTAAAGAGAAAAAAGCACCCAGGAAGAGAGTGAAGGACTATTATATGTTTAGTCAACATAAATATGGGGAAATCTCCTAAGAATTGTGGGAACATTAATTTGAAAATTTGAAACCCTTTTCCCACCATGAAATTGTAGAAGCTTGGATGCTTTCCAGACACATGCTGATCTTGAAATGCTGCCTGAGATTGATGTGAAGATCTGACTAGTACTGAACCATCAGTTTGGCCAAAGCTAGATATAAAATATCCCGTACGCGACTCACAGACATATCTGTGCCATTGAATGTTAAAAAATGCATACTATGTGAAACAATTTCCTTTTATACTCTAAAGCTGTGTTTACCATAATCAAACCACTAGTAACATTTCTTTTGGTGCAACGGAGTACTTTCTGAAGATGGACCGTTTCTACTTGCCTTTTTCACTTTCCCTGATTGTGGTCAAACCTAGTCAGTGGACAGTAGAGAAGTGGCCTAATAGCATCTTCAAAAACCCTGCTGTTCATTAGTTTACCACCCTGAACCTTGCTCCCTTTACAAACTAGTATCACCACTTTTCCTTCCTCAAAATTTATTCTTTTTTTACTAATTTGAAGGTCAATGACTAATTTTCGTGAGCTGAAAATTTTCTACTCTAAATAATGTCTCAATAATACTTTAAATTTGAAATTGTAAAACAAAATTTGAGTGTAAAACATAGGACATTAAATAATAGATAATGTAATAATAATGTCAAAAGAAAAAGTAGGAACAAACTTTTTAGTAAAGTAATTCCCATCATACAGGAGTGCTTAACGTCCAACTACTCATTCTGGGTGCTTGGCAAATAGGTCAGACCACAACAATTCTCATATAAAATTCCAAGAGCAATGCCAGGATCCAAAATCAATTTTGGAGGAGCAAAACCTTTGGCTAATAAAAAAGTTTGGCTTTTGACCTGAGACAGTGCACAGGCACATGTTTCTATTTACTTATTTATTTAATCAAATAAACATTTATTTATATTAAAAAATCCAATAAAATGTTACTGTGAACTTACTGAAACACCAACATCTAGATTGGGACATTCTACATTTTGTGCCAAACTCCTCTCTCCCTGATACTCGATTAAAAATGACCTATCATCATTCAGACTGGGTTGTTTCGAATCCTTAATTATGGGTAAAAATGGTATTCCATCCATGCTGGCTCCATTCAAACCAGCCAAGTTCAGTATTGTTGGAGCGACATCGATAAGCAGAGTTGGTTTTGTAACAGTGATGTTTTTATCTATACCTGGACCTCTAACAATGAAAGGTATTCTAATGTCGAACTCATAAAATTGCCTCTTGTCCCAAGGCATGCTGAACTGCCCAAGGTGGAAACCATTGTCAGATGTATAAAATATGTATGTGTTGTTCAATTGGCCGATATCGCTTAATTTGTCAACAATCGATTTTACAAGGTCATCAACAGATAAAAGGGTTTCCCATCTTTCTGAAAATTTATGATCACAATCTCTTATGATGTCTGAAGGCAAAGGTGCTGGCTTCATTCTCATAAACCAATGTTTATCCTGGAAAATATGATACATGTTCAATTAAAAATTTAAAAACATATCTACTTAATAAGATGAATACACTATAGAGATATTTATGGTTTTACATAGAAGTTCCAAACCCATAAAAAATAATCAAGAAACTATGAAGAAATAAATTTTTTTTTAATGTATTAACAAATTAACAAAAACACTATACATAAAAAATTATCTTTGTCTCCCCGGCCTAAAACAAGCAAAACTTGATTGATTTGAAAATCTTTGTAAAAGCAGATGCCATTGTGAGGAAAGGGACTGTTACACTGCTCCTAGATCCTGAAACCTTTTGTCATATCCAATTGGCCATGACTACTATCAACGAATATCTTAAGAAAAGAGACATGGTGGAAGTGGGGAAAAAAAGTAAGCAATTTAAAAAAATCCAAAAACCTCCTGTTGAGATTGGAAAAACTGTAGAATACATCAAAGGAAACAAGAAGAGACCAGCATGGTAGTGAAGAATCCGCAAAGAGGGAGAAGAGACCCCAACGGACCTATTAACAGAATGTGGTAATTTCTCTGCAAGAATATGTGTTTTGGGATTAAAATATAACCGTAGAAGAGAATTACTGTGTGTGATTTCTTTCAATGAGTTGTTTAAAACACTGAAGATGGTGAAATGCCAAAAAGCATCTTACAGTCTAAGCCACCAAAGATAGGATGACCAAAATGATCAACAATGACGAAATTTCAGGTTCATCACCCTGCAGATAACATGGAGAAATCTCACAATCCACGGGCAAATCTTTTTTATTTTTTTCCTAAACCAACAGTAATAATAACAAATAAACAGTACTCTGTTGGTCTGTTGTGAGAGTCCAAGCACTACATACATGGGACAACTGTTCTCGATTAAAAAAGAAACACTGAAAGGTGTAAAGGTGTAAGGTTGGGGCTTGGGCAAAAGAAATAATTAAGTAAATTAAACCAAATGCGTATGCTCGAGGTCTGTCAGCATTCTGCTGGCACAGTCATTGCCATGCGACAAAAAGAGCCATTTCCCCCGTCGTCCACATAGAGAATTATTTTCTAAAAATCAATTTCAATAATAATTTTTTTTAAGAGGGTTCACAACAGCAGAGGTAATATCAACCTTCAGGGTATCAGTACAAATCCCTATTTATGACACCCCCTCTAGTCAAAATTTGAGAAGCATATTTCAGTACTGGGCGGATGAGGGTTTTATAGAGCCTGATGATTTTAGTGCTCCTGGAGATTAAACTGCTTTTTATATATTTTGAAAGGCCAAAATAGCTCCTGTTAGCAGCTATGATTCTCCTGCTGAACTCCTGGGAGATGTTATTAAAGGAGTTAATTGGGAGCTCAGATAGATAAATTTGTCTAACATTTCTATAAAGGCTAAATTATTTAATGCCAGAATTCTCCCTTGCTTAATAATAAAAAAATTTTACAATCTCCCCAACATGCCATGAAAAGGATCAAAAATTGCCAGAAGATTAAGAAAAAAATTAGAAAAAGAACTGAAACGTCAGATGTCCTAAAAGCACTTCTATTACAAAAATTATGCTGGCCTGGCCATGAGGTGAGAGTAAAGGAGGATGAATAGAGACAAAGAACAGCAGAAAGGGCACAATTGGTTGAAAAAAGGAAAAGAGGAAAACAATATCAAAGATGGAGAGACAACCTGGATCATTTCTGAGCATGCTTTAGAACTGGACAGCACAAAACAAAAATATTTGGTTGAAATATTGAAATATTAATCCAGCCAGCAAGGGTAGGCAGACTAAGATAGTAGATAATGATCAAATAACAGGTTCATCACCACACAGACCACAGGAATCAATCTCACAAAATAACTATAAACAACCTTTTAAAAAATTGACAGAAAAGGCTATTTAATACTATTATTATTAAATATGTAATGATTTAAATATTATATATATTTATATACAAACATAAAACATTTACCTGATTATGTCCATAATTAAAGTGAGGCTCTCTTGGAATTTTTTCATTTAAGAATGAACCATTATATTTTGGTTCAGGAGTAAAAGGAGCATGTGGTGCAGGCGGGGCAACCATCATCAAAAATGGACTGGAATGATTAACATTTGAAAGAAAGTTGAGTGCATATTTTTCCTAGAATAAAACCAATAAATAAATTACTAAATTAATTATAGCAGAAAGAAAACTAATAGAGCTTACAAGCACATTTGTCAAGTATTCGTTATTCATAAATTTTGTCTTGCCATTAATGGACAGTCTATAATTATAATACTTTGAATTTCCTACTAAACCGATCCAAGTGTCCCATCCTTTAGGAATGTGCTCTGGGCCACCTGCTTTGACATGACCATACTAGAAAATAACCTAAACATTTAAAAACTATAAAAGCAGTTTTATCTCTATGATACAACATAGATTGGTTTAACTGACAATTTACCTGATTTAAGTATTTTCCTCCATAAAAAGTATTATAGCCTATTTCTTTCAAGTATGTGGCAAAAGTATTCCCCTCGAAATGTGTCTGCCATTCTTTGCTGCTGCAATTTCCATCTAAAGTGTTGTTTTTGACTTGGTGATTGTGTTGGTATAAGCCGGTTAATAAAGATGCACGACTTGGACAGCAAATCGGCGTAGTCGTAAACTGTAAAATTTACATAATTTGTCACCACTAAAAATATTAATCAATAAGTAATTCATATTCCAATGTTACAGATTAACACAAACTCTATATGCAATTTAATAAAAACATTGATCTCTACAAAAAAAATTACAACATACAACAACTATCTTACCAACTCGAAACAGAAATGGTCCTTACACCGCACCCTTCTTCACAAATAAACAATGAGTCTTAGTCCACTGCCTAATCCTCCTATTAACAACCTAAATTTTATTCAGTGGAACCCAACATCTTTTCTCCCTAAAAAAGGATTTCTTGAACATCTCATTCAAAATCAAAATGTCAATGTAGGTTTATTCTCAGAAACTTAGTTAAAACCAGATTCAGGACATAGATTCTCCGTTTCCACTTTATAAGCAACCTTAATAAAATGGATATTTGACAATGGACTCTCAATTTCTGAATCCAAATCTCATCTATATCCTTTCACAGGAAATGACGCAATGAACTCCATCACACCAAAACATTAGATGGACTTCCCTGTTGTTAAACAAGTGAAATTTTTAAGATTCCACTTAGATACTAAATTGAAGTGGAATACACATATTACTCATACTTTGGAGAAGGGGAAAAATTGGTTAACATTTTGCAGTTCACAACTACAAGCAAATGGGGAGCGGACACCAAAATAGGTCTTCTCTTCTACATTACATCCGTTCTGGATTTTGGCTCAGTTTTTATGCCCAGGCTTCAAATCTACTCTGAATCAACTTAATACATATCGCAAACTATGCTTGAGAAGAATTACAGGATGTCTCCCAAGCATTCCTATTCCTGCACTTTCGGCAGAGCTCTTCAGTCTACTGCTAGACGTTAGGAGAGAACGAATTAGCGTACAACACCTTGACCTGATTATAAGTTCCAACAGTCCTTTAATTAAAACCATTTGCCTATTGTCTATCAACGTTCTTACAGAACGTTACTGGCAGATGAAGAAGTCTTCTCTGATAGTATCCACATTCATTTCGTCTACTCCTGTCCTATATTCTGTCCACAAAAGCCCAATTCCACCAATCTTTACTCTAAAATTTGAAGCCATTATGAATAAAATACTATGCTATGAATTAAAAGACTATTTAGAAAGCCCTCCCAGCATAGCTTAGTTAAACTTTTTGACTGGCATAAACACCTACCTTCCAGGTTTTCGTCTGATTTACACAGATGTCTTATTTATGAATGGCAAGTGAGGGTGTGCCTTTTTAAATAAACATAGGGAACTAACTGTATCACCTAAAATATTTTTCAATTTTTTCCGCCAAGGTTGTTGCCATCCTGAAGGAATTAGAGTAGACACAGGACTTGGACTCGACCAAAGTATGGTATTGTGACAGATAGTTTGAGCACAATCCATCATCTAAAAAATTTTACTATCACTTCAGAGTATGTTTAGAAGTACTACAACCCATTACAAGTTGGACGCCCTAACCACTCGGTCAGTAAGAACTATTTTAATGTACTTACAGCATTTTTGTATGTAGCTCCATTTTTCGATAACAGCTCTAATGTATTCTTCATCGGTTTCTAAAAAATACATATTTTGTAAATATGAAATATTTTTAATGTAAATATATAGGTTTAAAGTAAATAATAATAAATTATAAAATGGTGCAGTCAGTTAGCTTTTTATCCATATTTGTAAAATAGTTGTCAATACTCACTTCCTATATTTTTAAATTGTTTTGTAACTATTAAATTGAATCAATAACAACATTTTCTATCAAAACAAGTCTGGAACTGCCTACATACCCTAAAATAATTGGGATCCGTAAATAGTTTAACACTATAATGGGTGAGGAAATTTCAGATAATGAAATAGCATATACTCTAGCGAAAAAGGGAGTCTTGTAACAATACATATGTCCAAATCCCTTTTGTGGCATAAAAAAGAACCACATTAATTAAAAACCGGAATCTTTGGCTATTAGAGAAAAAAAAAAAACAAATACTGAGAACGTATGTCATGTCATACTGAGAACACACCTTAAGAGACCCACAATATTACACTAATATAGCAAAGACTCTATCGTACAACTTGGGGGCTAAATCCTAAGATGACCTTAGGTTGAACAAATAAAGACAAGGGTACTACTGCAAAATGTTCAAAGAATACCATCATCGCTGCTCTTAAAACAACATCAGAGATGAAATACATCCTTAAGCTAACACCCTTAACCATATGTATATTAAAAGAGTTCAGTGGGAAGAAAGCATAGAACAAATTCTGGCCATACGAAAATTTTTGACACGTTAAAATACCTGATATGGCTAAAACAATCTCTGGTGCATCAGAAAAAATACTAGACTTCATAATTACTGAAATGATATACAGATGGCTCCAAGATGGAAAATGGTATGGGTAATGTTCAAAAAAAGGACTAATTGTGAGCACCACGTGAAACTCAGGTCCACCACAACTTTCAAGCTTACTCACTAACCATAAAAATGGCACATGGACCAAGGAATGCAAAGGAGTTTAACGGACATGATTCGTGCCAGAGGTGGAAATTCTCGACATTAAAGGGGGCAAAAACTTTTTTTACATTTTTATTTTTTTAACTCAATTTTTTTAAATTAGGTAATAAACTATTTCTTTTTAAATGTCTTTTAGAACCAAACCTATTTTTGGTATGCAAAACATGAATAAACCTAAATACAATAAAATTTGAGGGAGGCGTGTTTATTTTGTCCATCAGTACTATCAGAAAGCCAGATAGTAAGCCTACAAAATCAATTCAAAACTAGTCTGGAACTGCCTAAATATCTTAAAATACTGAAACCCACAAATAGTAGCTAAGGTGGGTCCCAGGTCAGGGAATTTTAGGAAACAAGGCAGCAGATATCCTAGTTTAAACAGGAGCCTTGGAATAACACCAAGGCCCAAATCCATCTTTGTGGCATAAATTATAGCTTACATTAAAAAAGAACTGGAATCTTGTGTAACTAAGGAACACAACAAATACTGGGAACATCAGGCATGGCCCAAGAAAATAGACTATGTGCAAAAACAATCCAGTGGAAGAAGAAATAAATCCTACTCAACAGAAAGGAATTAAAACCTCAGATATTTACAGGACATGCTGTAATAAAATAACACTTTTAAAAAAATGTGACTAATAGTTGATCATGTCGACTATAGCTAGAAGAAAGAGGTAGAGTCAACAAATATCATTTGTGAATACCCTGCCTAGCCAGGAAAAGGTTATGATACCTAGGAAAGACATTATTTGCATCATCTCTATACATCTAAGACGAATTCAGTACTTTATTAAAGAAACGAAATTCTTTCAGGAAAATCTTTTCCAGAGATTGGTCACAACAGAAGAAAGGTTCAGTGCAAAAAAATAAATAAAAAATGTTTATAATGATAAACCTTACAAGAAATATTTTGGCACAATTTTATAGGTTAAAGCGTGCACACGTGTTATAATTTAATGGTGCCTTTGGCTCCAAATAGAGAGCGAGTAGGTACTAGCAACCCCGAAATGCGAATCGATGATCAAAAATAGAATAGGTGTATTATCATTTTGATAAAACTAATGTCCCAACGATTTGAAAATCGTCGTAAAGTTGAGAAATATAACTTACGAGGCCGCCTAAAGTCACATCTTGATCGTCCGTCAATATCAGGACAAAATTGGGAGCCGCTTGAACGGAACAAAGCAAAGTTAGAATAGCAAAAGTCGACAGTAGAATCATTCTTGTTACAAACGAGACGATGTTATTAAACAACCAGCTGATTGTTAACACAAATCAGCTCCAATTAGATATTATTATATAACTATTGTATACATTTTATCTAGAGATATCTAAATTGCTCACAAACGGATAGGGATATTTGTAATTTATTCTTATTCTATTAATTTTTATTAATTGGATAAAACAAAATAGAAAATACAAACAAATGTTAATCCTCATTTTTAATAACGGATTTACTGCAGTATAGCAAACATGAAGATCACTCATTTTGTAAACAAACAACTTTTCTCGTCTTTTCTCCATTTTAATCCGATTGTATTCTCTTTAACCATGGAAAGACATCTTGAACCAGAAGTTATATATAGCAATATTATTGTGAGAATGAATCGAGGTCAGCGGCAAGTGGATATCGCAGAGGTAGCTGGCGTTTCTCAGATTACGAGAGACTGGAAGTGCCAATAGGAGGCCTAGTAGTGGATCTCAGAGCATTATGACGCTAAGGGAGGGCAGAAATATTGTCATAGCTGCAAGACGGAAGCCTTTCCATAGTGCCTGCCAGATCCTAAATGAAGTACAAGATGTTTTGGGAAGGCCTTTATCAACATAAACTTTGTGGGAAGTTGGCCTTACATCGTATGCCCCTTTGAAACGAGCTGCTGCAACAGCCCGCCACCAGCAACTCAGGAGGATATGGTGCAGTGAGCTCCTAGAAGAGAACCAATTGGAATGCTATGTTATGGAATGTCATGTTTACTGATGTGTCGGGTTTCTGACTGTAGTGATAGCAGGCGCCGAATTGTCTACCGAGAACGGGGGACACATACAACGCCCCAGTTTTTGCTTCCTTCAGTACAGTTTGGAGGGAACGGTGTAATGGCCTGGGTTGGTTTTACATTGGAGGACGAACTGGACTCCATATTATTGAAGGCAAACACACCACAGTCCATTATGTCCAAGAAGTTATCAAGGGATACATCCCTCAAACCAGGGATCTTATTGGCAGGGATTTTTGATTTCTGAATTACAATGCCAGACCTCATAGAGGCAGAGGTGTTCATCAATGTTTAGAAAACCTGGGAATTTCCCGTCTGCCCCTTCCCCCATTGTGTCCAGATCTCAATCTCATTGAGCACATGTGGGATGCGTTGCAGAGAAGGCTTTTCGATTGCCATCTGCAGCCAGTTGACCTGCAACAACTGAGTGCAGCATTGCAACATCTATCGAGTGAAATTCCTTATGAAAGTAGTGACAACATTAATAACAGTATGCCTAATAGGTGGACAGAGGTTTTAGCTAACAGAGGGCATTAGACATGGTATTAATTGTTTAAAAAAATTATTGTGTCCAATAAACAAAATTATGGAATTAACATATTTTATTTTGTTATTTTTCAAAGTACCTTATTTAAATTTTCCTTCAGGTAAACACATAACAATTTCAAATAAATTTTAATGCAATTTATAATAAAAATGCTAGTAAAAGTAAATACTACAAAAGTGGCAATATCTCTATTCATTTGTGAGCAGTTTATTAATATGCCCCTAATCCAATTGAAAGTCAATATTGCTTGATTCAATAATTTTTGAACGAACCTTTATTTCAATGTAATGACAAGGAATAGAACATGTTTTCATGTTGGTCCTGATGGTCTGTCTTCTGTTTTATAAATCCCTGTCAAAAGTTCTTACACCCACTTTAACTGTCTTATTTATTTTTTCCTTGTCTACTTGGTGTTTCTCTGAATAGGGAAAAAATAAAATTTGTTAAACCTATTTGCAAAGCTGGTGATAAAGAAATGCAAGAAATTACTGACCCATATCCAGGACTCTCTGTTATACCTAAAGTTTTTGAAAAAATTGTTGCAAACAAGCTAAAGTAAATTTAAATTCCATTATATCCCCTTGTCAACACGATTTTGTTGCACCTCACTCAGTCTGTGTTAATTTAGTCAATTTTGAGCAGTGATTTTACTAGTCAGGTTATTTACGGGGTGACTCAATTCACACAGATATAGCTAAAGCATTTGATACTGTTAATCATAGAATATTACTGCAGAAACTTCACTCGTATGGTGTGACTGGTAGTTTATTACCCTGGATTAAAAATTATCTGTATGCAAGAGAGCTAATTATAAAAGTAGGATCATGTCATTCAGGTTTGTTCACTGTACATTCTGGGATCTCCCAAGGTTCGCACTTGGGGCCACTGCTGTTCCTTATATTCTTTAAGTTTTTTTGTTTTTTTTTCTGCAACAGCAGAGGTCATCAACCCGCAGGGTGTCGGTGTTTTTTAAAAAAGCCCAAAAGCCCATTTGTAATATTGCTTTGAATGCAAGGCCACTGGATTCAAACCAGGGACTTTTACATTACAGTGATGAGAAAAAAAATGATGTCTTTTCTAATACTAATGTTTTATTGCCGGCTGACAATCGAAAAATCTTTTATAAAATTAATACCATATATGATACGATGGTACTCCAAAAAAATTTATAAAATTTTCATTCAGGGTGTTGTAATAATTTGTTCAATCTGAACATTGAAAAGTGTAATGTAATTACATTCACTAGATCCTCAAAAAAGGTACCTACCAATATTCTTTAGAAAATACACAACTAACAACAATAGTAGGGACATCGGAGTTATATTCAACTCAACACTCTCATTTAATATGGTTATATCATTGCCAAATCTCATAAATTATTTAACTTTATAAGCAGAAACGCTCAACAATTTACCTCTAATGTTTAAGACACTTTACATGTCTCTCTAGTAAGGCCTCATCTTGAATTTTCTACTCCCATTTGATCTCCTCACTATGCTATTGCACGCATAGTTTAATGCAATTGAAAAAAAAAAAAAAAAAAAACAGCATAAATTTTTGAGTACATTGCATTTAAGCAAAAAATTCTATTTTCTTCCTTAGAATTTGATCAACCACTAAATCAACTAAACATGATTAGTTGTTCTGATAGGAGAAAATATGATGCTCTCTTGATTTATGATATTGTAACTGGAATAAATTATGGTCTCTGGTATATCTGTCTATGTCTCCAGTGTCAATACTAAACATAATATGTATAATGATTTATTTAACATACAATTCTATAAAAAAATTTATGTCTGTTATTCTTCTATTTCTAAAGTCTCCAACCAATAAATCAGCTTCAACCTCACATAAATATTTTTAACATGTCAAGGTCCCAATTCAAAACTAAAATTACTCAAATCTTTCAAAATGCCATGTGTGAACTTTAGAAACATATTCATAAATCTAGCCTTTAAACAATTTTCATCTATTTAATTGTATAATTTCAAGAACTACATTATTCTTTAATGATTATATTTATATTTTTGTTATATTTTCATCTGTAAATGTTAATCTTAATGTTTTTATTCTCACTTACATATTATATATTTTTATATAGTGCGTTCCTAGTTGATATTAGTTATTTAGTGTTATGAAACTTATATTTTTGTAACAAGGATAATAATCCGTATATTTAAATAAATAAATACATGTTTTACTTTTATTTAAAAAAAAAGTTAAAGTTAAAATAGGAAATATTTAGTGTTAGTAACCAATAAATAATACATCATCCTTGAACTTGATTCTTCAAATCTACAAATACAAAAATAAGCATTTTTATTTTATTTATTTTTAAATTTTTTGTTATCAAAACAATTCCATGTGTTTTTATGTAAATGCATTACTTATTTACACATTTATTTGGATGTTTCAGGAATTTACACCCATCATTTCCAGTAGATGTCCTTCTTCACTGTGAGTTGTTGATGTGTTTCTTTCCTGGGTAGAACATTTTTCGAGGTATATCTTTTTTGTAAGGAATTTTTTCTTATAAATTTCTTATGTTTTTGGAACATGGAAATTATAGAGAATGATTTGCTTTGTTAATTTTTTTGTTTGTATTTACACATTTATTTGTATGTTTCGGGAATGTACACCCATCATGAGTCTTTTCAGTAAGATGTCCGTTTTGACTGTAAGTTGTTGATGTGTTTCGTTCCTGGGTAGAACTTTTTACCAAATATATCCTTTTTTGAGGGAATTTTTGCTTATATAAGATAAAATTTCCTACAAAAAAAGGACATACGTGTTTCTAAAAATACACAAAACGTTTCTGTAAATCCGTCCCCTTCTCACTAATTCCCAGTTGAAACGAAATGTAAGATTATCGCTTAACAATTGTTTATAATACAATTATATTACTTTTTAAGATATTTTAATGGAAATTATGCGATATTTTATAAGCTCGTAGTTTTTTGTAGGATATTCAATTTCGACGTTTGAGGTAATTTATTTCGTTTTTGGGCAGTTGTGTGGCCAGCCTGTTTGAGGCATTACCTAAACCCAATCTCCTGGCTTGTCCGCAGTGTGATATCTAGTGTTTCTTTTCTGAACGCTTGGAAGGGAAACTTTCTCTTTTTCGACGGCCCATCGTGGACGAAATTAACAATAATTTGTGCATTTCGCACAGTTTTACCAGTTTAAGTTTTAAGTTTTACCAGAAAGCCATTTTAAAAACGTTTTTTTGGCTCCTCTGCTTGTGTTGTGATTCGTAATTCCGGGCTTTTTAAGTCAGGAACGGCTCCATTCCCTTCCCCAGGGAATACAGAATAACATTTCTTTTTTTTTAAAACAATCAGCGTACTCCTTTCAAAGTGCCATCCAACATATTCATCTAGGAAAGTTTCATGTTCGAAATCAAAAATGACAGGCGATTCAATTGAAAAACTGTACAAATATTACGGAATCCTCGCAGACGCCGGTGACAACATTGTAAAGGTAAACTTCCAAATATTTATGGGAATACATATAAGATCAATACTAAATAGTTTGTTGTTTTCCTTTCTAACACTGCTTTATCATATTCAGTATTTTTTCCTATGACGCCAGAAATAACATCGTTTAATATACTTTGTTGCCTGTTAACCACTTTTAAACGTATTACCTCGTGTTCTCAACTATAATGACTAGTTGACATAGTTTTCCTTCAAAAATGTCATATGTTCTGAAAGTTTTCTCCTCCCAGATGTTTCTTTTGTCGAAACTAGCTTACACTGAAATCTCGGGATTGTTTATGTGTACAGACACCATAAATTTATGTGCCCCATATTGCCAGGAAAAATTCTGAATGCGGGAGATTCGCCCAGTATCATCGTTTCGTTTTAAAAATAAAATTCTGTTAGAATTCTGGTTTAAAATACAGCAAACTAGCTGATAGTGAACAGCTATAGACCAGTAGGCAAAAAACACTCCTTCAAATACTTCCCTAAAATTGAGAAGGCACAAGCGAAGGGGTGTTTTCTTACTTCCAGACCTCACGAACTTAACTGTGATTGTGTAGCACAGTTCAGTTTTGTTCCAGTTTATCCATTATTTCTTTCAGTTGTGTCTTTTTTCCTAGCTCTTAGTATTGTAAAGCAGAGGTAACATTGGTGGAACTGAGTTCTCGGGGCTCAGGTCAAAAACGCCCCATATACTGTTAGTCTGTTTGTTTTCCAAATGTCACGTCATGTCCCGACTGGACAATGTAACTGGAATTAGTACCGTATTTAAGCCTCAATATAAGCTCAGATTGTCTGTCAGTTTGCCTGAATCCCACAAGAATAAACTAAGCATGTATAGCCTCAGTTCGGTTTTTCATCCAGTTTCTCTGTTATTTCCTTCAGTTGTATCAGTTCTTCTTGCTGCAGATGTCGCAAAGGGGATATAGCATGGGTGGAACTGAGGCTTCTGAGCTCAGGCCACAAATGTCACGTCCTATACAAGCTCAATTTTCCATGTGTAAAGTCTAGGTTTCAGGGCTCATGCCAAAACGACCCCATACATGCTCATTTTATTTGTCAATTTCATGAGCGATTGAGTAATCTAAGTTGGAATGGCGGAAAAATATCTCAAAAACCCAGTGCTTGGAATTCATAAATAAAGCAACTGAAGGACACTGCTTGGCCAAACATATGAGAAAGCAGCTCTAATGGTTTACACTCTCCTTTGAATACTTTACTAAAATCGAAAAGAAAGCTCAAGCATAGGCTAGAAAGCTCTCACAAACTTTGCAAGGACATTGCTACTTCTTGGTACATCGCTGCAAATTCAAAAAGTTCAAACTTATGGTGACGTACTCCTCAAAATTCTGTCATGAAGGTTTTATGAAAGGAGAAGAGACAATCTAAAAGTCCTCTGCCACAACAGTGCCCCCACAATCTAAATTGAACTTGAACAAGTCAAAATTGCTTCTAAGCACCTAAACCATTAAGGTTAGATGATTAACATTTAAGCTTGAAAGATTGACAATTATGAAGCACGAATTAGTTTGTTTGTTTATTTATTCATTTATGTATTAGATAATAGTTACATAAAGTTAGTTCAGGCTGGTTTCCCATCTTATATTATGTCAAATATAAATGACATTGTAGCAATTAACATCCCAGGGAAAAAAGCGTATAGAGGAAATCAGCAAGGGGCATTAGTTAAATAAACGTCCTTTTCCTCCTCAAGACTCATCTTCATAAAGCAAGCCTGAAGGAAAATGAAAAGCAGAAATATCTCCCTTTTTTTAATTATTTGTTTTTATATTTTTTTAGTTTGTTTAGGTTGATGGTTGTTACGGCCAATGCCGGGTAAGAAAAAAAAAAAAAATTAAAAAAAATGAAACATTAATAAAATAAATTTAAGAAAATTCTAAATTAAAATAAAATAAGGGAGAAATTCATAGGGGACTTACCACCTTCCTTCAGATGCCGGCTGCAAGAAGCGTAGGGAGCTCGGGCCCGATTCCTCTGACTTCGTCGCAGAATATCCGATGATTCAGGTGGAAGAGATCGATGCAGCAGCACAGAGGGTTTTTCATGATTAAAGACTTTTTTATTAATACGGGAGAAAAAGCATGAGAAAAGAGAGACGTGAGGACCTTTCTATCATAGGAGTAGAACAGGACTGGGTTTGCAAGGAGCGTGGGAGTAGGATTAGGGATTACAATAATCCAAAACAAAGTATATTTAAAAATGAGATGGCTGGCGCCAACAATGGTAAAATGTCTAAGGTGGATGGATTAGAAAAAAGCATTAATTTGCTTAATAGTGTTGACACTAACTGACATAAATTTTCTCATAATCCAAGTATGATCCAACTTTCTCAAATAAATATAAATAAACAGGCCCAAACTTCATAATTGTTTTTATGTTTGATTGCCTGACACTTGTTGACTTGTCAATTCTGATGTTTCGTTTAGTAGATCAGTTGTACATAAATTCTATAAAGGTAAAGGGGTAAAAGTTAATTTTTTGGGCAAATGGGATTATGTCGTTTTTAGCTTCTTTGTAACGTTCTTTACCCATCAGAAAATGGTTACAAGTTCAATGACCACATAATTTGGGAAATTTGATCGATCAACTTGATTTAAAGCTAGACCGTAAGTAAACTTTCAAAAGCTGTTTGCCAAAAATTGAAGAATAAATGACATCTTCTCTTTCACCCAAATACTACAACATTTTAAATTTGGCCTTTTGACAAAGGCAAGGAAAATCAGTTTTGTCTAATAACCATTTCATCACTTTACATTTCGTGTAGCAGGGATATATTTTTTTTTTAACATGCCTAACATATTATTGTATATTGTGTTTAAAAAAATGTTACTTTTTTTTAATTTTACATTTTATTTGCCTGACTTAACTCAAACATTTTACTTGTTTGTGTAATCTTAACTACAATAACAGAGGTTATTTTTCATTTAAAACAATGCTATTCATTTCCAAATTGTTTGAATTGTGATTGTAGTAATTGTAATTTGAATAATTATAATTCTAACATTTTAACATTGTACATTTAGCATGAGGACTTGTACTCGGAAATAATTCAAGCTGCTAAAGGGGACCAGAGTGAAAGGCGTTTAGCATGCCAGTTCATTCCTAGATTCTTCATACACTTCCCTAATCTTGGAGAGACTGCCCTTAATAGTTTATTCGATTTGTGCGAGGATCCAGAAATATCTGTAAGTATTTAGTTTTAAACTTTAAAAAATTATAATGTTTTTATGTTAGTAAAACATATATTTTTAACTATGCACTAAATTATTATAAAAGTCCTTGTGCCCAGAAACTAATTTCTTATTCTGATATTAATTTTATAGATCAACTCTACACAGACTGCTTATTACTGTGCAGATATTGCATAGTCATTTACTGTCAAGGCTGATTTCTTGATGAGTTGGCCTCAAACTTGTGAGTCTGTGACTATAATCTATATAAGTTTAATCCCCCCCCCCCAATGGGTTGAATATTAAGCCCTCCTTTATACAGGAATGACTTTACTTTATATAGTCTTAGAATTTTCTCAAGGGAAAAAGAACTAATTGCAAAGTCACTAGAAATTGCAAACAATGTGTAGGAAGGCATATTCTGTCATAATACAGAAGGGGTTTGTTTCATACATTTCAATACCAGTGACACAATTAGATTGTTCTTAAGAGCTCGATGATGCTGAATTATTCAATAGTGTAAGCTTATATGCTACCACTTATCAACTGCAATGAAGGTTCAAATGCTGTATGGTGTATGAAATATCCAGGCAATATTAGATCCTAACAGTTTATTAGAAGTCCCAGGACAAACAAACACTGGTAAAAGTAATCAATAGCAAGCAGTTAATACACCAAGACTGATTTGGAACGAAAGTAACTTATTTTGTATCTATGAAGGTATTTTGTTAGTTTGTTTCTGATGACAAATGGCTCTGCCCTGACTAAGCTTTACACACAACTTTTTAAATTTGTCACAGACAAAATTGGAATTTATGAATGGCGTCTTGTGTAGCCCAGCTTATATTCCTGATGACGCACCATCTGACTGCATTCTATTCCAGTCAATGGCACACTTTCATAAACTACAAGGTTTTGATATTATTAAATCAAGCATTTGTTGATTAGTGAGCTGGTTACTCATAAACTAGACCTTTTCTCTTTTGTTCGATTAGGTTAACCATTCTTGTATATTACAAATGCCACTTGCACTAAAAAAAAATCAATCCATGCACAATAGTTAGTAATGCTTCAATAAATAAGAAAGCAATAATGGATAACAATAGACTTCACTGATAAAATTCTATCGTATGATAAGGTTTAATTTGTACTTTTTTTCATTAACTATTAGTACAAATACCTTTATCATTATTCTGGGATTCATTCAAAAAGAAATCCTGCTCAAAAGTATTGCAACTTTTCTTTAATGGTTTTATCTACTTTTAAATGACCCAGCATTGATGTTTGAGATTTTCCTTTATTTAATTAAATAAAGTTAAGTCACAAATAAAACATTGAGGAGTTTGATTGCTTATTGTTTTTACCACAGAAAACCATGATGATTTTTTTGTTAAACTATATTTAAATAAAAGAATATCTAGCGTGAATTCTTCACATTAGGAAACTAAGCCAATAGAGAAATGTGTAAATTTTTTCCTTTTATGTTTCAAATCAATATTTTCAATTATTAATTTCTACATAGTGACAATAAATATGATATTTGTTTTAGATAAGAAAACAAGTCATTAAGGAGCTTCCACACATATGCAAGCAATGTACAATGTTCACAAAAAAAACCTCCTATATATTGTCACAACTTCTGCAATCAAAGGACCTAGCAGAACTCTCTATTGTATCTAGATCTCTCCTGTCATTGTTTCAAATATACCCTGAAGGTTGGTGTTTTAAATATGAGAATGTTTCAATAATAAAAATAACAAATTTTTTTTATTCCATTTAGGTGCTGTTGCTGGTCTGTTTAACCAGATTCGAAATGGAGAAGACACAGTACGAGATAAATGCTTAAGTTTTCTTACAAATAAAGTGAAGTCGTTGCCAATAGCCAACCTACCTAAACTCGAAGAGGCATTGATTACTGAGACAAAAAGTACCTTCGATGTAAATATTATAATCATTCCTTTTTTCGTTTATTAGCTAGTTTTGATACAAGGTTTTGAACTCATTGTAGGAGGCTAGTCCTGAGGAAATACCAATATTTATGGATATACTGTTCTGGACCAAGCTAGGCAAGGATGTAACTGGACATACAGTCATTATCAATATGATAGCTGAGCAAATAGAGTCCGAGACACCATTTAATGTGCATGATGATGATCTGCTTGAGAGGCTAGTTACTTTATGCAAGTCTGTAAAGCCACTGTTCAAGGTAAGCATTAATGTGTGTTAATTTTTAACAGTCAATTGATTTTCTGTTTGTTTATTTTTTTAGCCTTTAACATCTCCTGATAGGTATGTTACGTATTTTTGTAAGGAAGTTCTACCTAACTTTAAAAGCATAAGTGGATATGATGAATGTTCTGGTTACGCCTTAGAATTGCTCCAGCTGTTTACTGAACTTACAGTTTACTGCAATAAGTTGAACGAACCTGTGATAGTAGTTGAAAGTATTTTCAACCTATTGATTGTAAGGCGGCTTATTATATTTTGATTTTTCTTATTTCTTTTTTTTGTTAACCATATTAATTTTATAGGAAGTTATGCCATATTCTGAAAGTGGGCAAGATAATTTTGACGATTTAAAATTCCACTTTTCCTACATTGAGTGTCTACTTTATTCGCTGCATAAATTGTTCAAATTACATCCATCTTTCTTGTCCGATGATGTTGAACTTTCCAAATTCAGATCCAGGTTTGTTGTCACTCACAATTTCAACTCTATTCAATTGATAAAACAAACAATTATTTTAGATTGCAGTACTTCTCGCGAGCTCTTCAAGGGTACATTAAGACACTGCACAACGCCATAAAAAGTGAATCTTTAGATGCTCTGAAAAAGCCAGAGAACGCAATAAAGACCTTGGCGTTAAAAACAACATTGAATATTAATGCTTTAATCAAGGATTTCTTTTATAATCCGCCTTCAAATAAGGCCACCATTCAGCTGTCATGGCTTATTCCCAAAGTAAGTACAGTTGACTCTTGTTAATTCAAAACTTTATAATTCGAATTTCTTGATAATACAAACTCCTCAGCAGGTTGCTTTAAATTTAAAAAAACATGTGTATTTTAATATACTCAGTAATATAAAATACGTTTTATTACGGGGAGAAAGATCATCCTGTAAATCGAAATGGAACCCTCTTTATAATTCAAACTTTTTCTTTATAATATTTCTCTAAATTAACATGTATTTCCTTACAACCTAAAGTTTCTTCTAATTTTCTCTAGTTTGTTATGTTTGGTGGCAGTGTTTTGGCAATATGTTCTCAGCACTAGCCACTTTGGAAAGTCATAAAAAAGGCCACCGCTTCACCATTTTTTTAAATAATGAATAACAATATTAATAAATATAATTGGTCAAGCACACCACGAAAACTAGTGAATTTAACAATATTAACTTTTACAGTTGATCTATTCCCGCTGTTTATTCTTTTTACGATGTTTTATATATTTACAATTTAAGTAATAACTTGTAAAAATGCATATCAACAATTATACATTTTTTCCTTTACTCTTGATAATTCAAATTATTTTTGTGGTCTCTTGGATCTTCAAGAGATGAAGAATCAGTCTCAGCAAAAACAAATCCCAGCAAATAGCCTCGACCCTTTGTATCTTTCCAATCTAGTACAAACCTTCCAGATGAACCAATTTCATCCACTATTTGGGAATACATCGACAAAAGACTTACTTTTAAAACCCCCATGCTCGACTTAAAAGAAAGAACAACAGACAATATAAACTACTCAAAGACTATTTGACAACTACTACAAAACCCTTTCCACCCTCCTAAGAATCCAGCCACTCCAGTTCAAAATCCTTCAAACCATTGCCCATGGTCCACTCCATATCCTACCTAAATAACCACACAGACCTTCAAATCTCATTTGTCCTCAAAACCACAAGAAGTTGATACAGACCGCAAAACCCTGGATCCTCATCCCTCCTCTTGATCCAGCACCTTTCCTCTTGAACCCTTCCTTACAATCCTCTAAAGTGCCAATGATCTCGCGATTTTCTCCTTAGCGATGTAAGTGTGATGGTATAATTAAAGAGTTATTTCTCAACTCTTATAATACAAAATTCATAAAGAAAACAAAGGTGCTTGCGCACTATCGCCGTTGCAGCATAATAAAATAAAATTAAAATAATAAAAGCTTTTAACTGAAATTTTTGAAAAGTACACAAATTTAAACTTTATTAGCCTTTACAATTGTAAGAATATAATCAATTTGACTTCTTTTTATCAAAATTAAACTCTTATCTTTTTTATCAATTGTAATACCTGTCATTCATCTATTCAATATATTTAATCGTAACTAACAATATCTTTTACAGGCCTGCCAGAATGAAAAAGCTATTGTGAGATTAAAAAGAATGTGCAATAGTCTCGGTGTAGAGATTCCAGCAAAACGGTCAAACACACTGAAGCCATACCGCCCTATACAGCGCCCACTTTACCAACCGCCAAATGGGAAGTACAGTAAGACTTTCTGTAAGTAACAAGTTATACATTTTAATAATCCATCTTTCGTTATTCTTAGTCTTAAAAATTAGTCGTCCCCTTTGCAACCAGATAAAGGTATTTATCTTTAAACTATTGAATTTATGGTATTTTATAAAACACTCAAATACTGTTCACAGAAATAAGTTTTTCTTCCCCATCCCACCGCAATCCCTCTTTTTATTGCTTCCATTAAGAAAACTACATCGTGTATTTAATTTGGATTTGCTTTTACTTTGAAAGGATTCTTAGATTTATTTGGGTGCGTAATTGGCAGTTATAACAATAAAAGTATATCCAAGCTCTCCCCTTCATGCTAAAGGCAGGAAAACCTAGGAAGACTAGGCCAAGGCATTGTATAAAAATGTGTAGTATTTAGTGATCGTTAATTAATGATTGTTTAGAGATCGTGAGATGCAGTCTGGTGTGATTGGATTTATGAGTATTTCTTAGTGCAATCGCATTAATTTGTTTAAGAACTGTTTGATTACATGCAGATATAATTTAAAGTTTGGGAGATCTGTGAGTTTTTTCTTAGCACAATTTATAGTAAAAATATTTTGAAACTATCTGAGTTTGGGAGATCTGTGAGTTTTTTCTTAGCACAATTTATAGTAAAAATATTTTGAAACTATCTGATTTATGCAAATTAAATGTTGCGGATGAAGTATGCAGCTGAAATCAGTTGTAACATCTGGCCAGTTAGACTGAGGTTTGTCTAGAAAGGTTCACCTTACAAGAGTAATCCATTACACATTTTGTTTGAGGTTCCTCTTTAGTTTCAAATATTTTCTTTGTAACGTCTTTTTTTTTTTTAATATTAGGGGGATTCGTCTGAATTTGATTTTGCATACTACATTTTGTGTACTATTTCGGCGATTGTCGTGCTGAATTGAGGTAATTTATCCGATGCTTCCAAGTCAGGGCAAGATTTTTTAAATTGCTCAGTTAAATTTTGGACTAATGTGTCAGTATTACTTTTAATCAACTCTTCCCGGCACTATAAAATGCTTTCACATATAGCACGTTCAATTTGTAGCTGATCTGGGTAAAGAATGCAGTGGTTTCTTCCTGTAAAATGTTGCATGAACATGCAGGAGTATGTTGTGATATGCACTGCATTTGCTTTTTTATCAATTTTTTAAATGTAAATTATTTGTCTTAAGTTATACATACTTGACAAAATAATTAAATGTATTTAAAAGGGATTATTTTAAAAAACCTTTAATTTAATATAATCCTATTTTTTCGAACTTCTAAAATTCCTATGACGAGTTTGTGCTCTGCTATGACTATTTATAATGGGAGTCTGAGCGAATAGATTATTACAAGTAATTATGTGCTTAAACTGTCCCAAGGTGTGAAATGAAGGGTCTGTTGCCTTGAAATTGAAGTTTTATTGTTAAGAAAACACAAAATACGATTTGCAAGGGGTCGCTTCTAAATTGTTTTAAATGAACAAATATATTACAAAATACATCACACTAATAATTAATTAAGGTTTTTAGTTGAGGTGAAAAAAGTTAATGGCACGAGCGGGATTCGAACCCACGATCTTCGGCTAGATACGCCACTGCTCTACCACTTGAGCTATCGTGACCTCGATCCACTCGGACATCAACTTCTTATCTCAACCCGGAAGATCGTGGGTTCGAATCCCGCTCGTGCCATTAACTTTTTTCATCTCAACTAAAAACCTTAATTAATTGTAATGATTTAATTGGTCAAGCGGATCACGAAATTAGTGAATTTAATGAATTAAAATGAAGTATACTTCACTAAAGCTCTCGTGGCCATTTCATTTGTCGCCGAGAATCCAATCCGATTACACGACATTTGAAAAATGGCAAAAAGGAGGGAAAATTCAAAAGGTGCGGTTGAGATGGGAGGTTGATGTCCGATTGGATCGAGGTCACGATAGCTCAAGTGGTAGAGCAGCAGCGTATCTAGCCGAAGATCGTGGGTTCGAATCCTGCTCATGACACTAGCTTTTTCATTTCAACCAAAACCTTACATAAAAACGATTAAGTAATTGAAAGAAGTAATTTGGTCAATAGATCACTAAATATAATGGATTTAGTTATTATAAAGGGTGATGGATGAATATCAAGCACTCCCTCAGTGAATGGTATGTAAATAAGAAATAATGTATTTAAGAGTGAGTGAGAGTGTGAATGGGTTTGTATTTAGGAACCAATTGCATTGGGGGCTGAAATGACCTAGCTGTTGATAGCCCCTGGAGCACAACCTTGGTGGCTGGACGGATAAGACCTAAGTCTGACCCCAGAGTACAGACTGCCAACACCTGGGGTGGGTGATTCTCGAGATAATTTATTGTAAATTACACAAAAGCTGGAATTGTCAGCAAACTGCGAGAAGTGATGGGCTCAACTCGATATATATATGTACGTGCAGGTGCAGATTTGGACTTATATAAATCAGTAATCAGAATACCAAGTGTTTAGGTTTTTTTTCCTATTTATAGTTAGCCTTTTAATTGTAATGTGTAATTTAGGATTTTATTACAACGAAGTCTCACAACTACTTTTAAAGGTACATGCCGATATCTCAGACAATATCATTTGGACTAAATTTACTTAGTTGATGTGTATATATTGGATTGGATCGAGGTCACGATAGCTCAAGTGGTAGAGCAGCGGCGTATCTAGCCGAAGATCGTGGGTTCGAATCCTGCTCGTGCCATTAACTTTTTTCATCTCAACTAAACACCTTAATTAATTGTAATGATTTAATTGGTCAAGCGGACCACGAAATTAGTAAATTTAAATACATCACACTGTTTTGTGAGATAAATCAAAATTGAACTTGATAATAATTCTCCATTTGATATAAGAAATTACATATTACAAATTAATAGAAGGGCTAAAAAGAAAAAGAATCAACTTTGAAAATAAAAACACCAAGATAAAACCAAATAGCTTTAACAATTGAAATAAGTTTTTTAACAGATAAAATCAAAATGATTGGCAAATCTTAATTGCTCAAGTTGGATGTTTTCTGTTTTCTTTATCAATGTCTAGGCTAGTCTGGCTTATTCCTCCTAGGCTCTAACGTGGAGTGTTGAACCTGGATATACTTTTTTATTGTTGTACAGTATTGAAGTTTTGAACCATTTCCCCACTTTGAAACATCGATTAGTAATGGTTAAAGGCTTATATGATGTCTATGTCAGCTAATTTATATTTTCCAGAGGCTGATTGTGTGACAGTCTAGCTGAGGTTGGAAGAAGAATAATTTTACATGAATACTTCTTCTGTGTTAAAAATATAAGACATTGTAACAACTATTAAAAAATTAAAATTATAGAATTAATGGAGTAAATTTGACATTTAGTTTCTAAAGTTTTAATTAACAATATTTTTTTGTGTTAATTTTAAAAGTACTTGCTTTGATGCTTGTTTTTTGTACACAATTTTCATTTAAAAAAAAAATTGTTACAATTTATAAAGGGGAACTGTTTGAACTGATAAAGGGGTTATTCATTGCCTTCTATAATGTGGCGTATTTGAAATTAAGCCCTCCAAACTGTATATTTGACACTTGTTTCATTTGAATCACAAAGCGAAAAAGGCAAAAGTCGTTTTGTACCAGTACAATTTCTCATTTTTCAGTCCATCCAGTTTTCTCTTTTCAGTAGTTCATTTCAATAAATTAAGCTTTGTTGGTGGAAGAAAAGGCAGTTAACATTGCTTTACAATATACTTTATATCTGTGACTGTATTTGTAGTTTAAAAATAGTTTGTAACTAGTTTAAAATTAATTTAATAGAAAAAAAAACTATTGATCAAAAATTGATAGCACTTCAACTCATATTTCTCTTGGTTTCAGGTAATCCCAAACGTAACGGACCATCATTGTAAATATTAAAAACCCTCCTGTGTAAATATAACATGTATTTATGTACGTTTTCCTGATAAACCAGTTTTATTCTTGGGCTTCGTAATAACTTATTAAATCAAGTCTTAACCAAATTCCAAGTCAAATTTGTGTTTAATTAACAAAAATGAATTGTTACTTTTTTCAATAATTTTAATAAAACAAATCTGTCACTAACTGTTTTCTTAGAATTTATTTTACCACTCACTGCATTTGTTCCCAGCAACAGCAGAGGTCATGAACAATGTTTTTCCGTTAAAAAAAAATCAAACACTGAACCAAGGATCCTTCCAGAGACATCAACATCTTAACCATTGTGGCCACCGGTGCCGCTAATTATTTATTTTTGTCAGTTAAATTTCCTTTTAGCAAATGACATGTAATTGGGGCATGCAGCCTCTTAATAAGTCGTCAAGAATCAAATCCTGTTGAATTTAACACAATATTTGAACTATGGCAAAAAGAGGGAAAATTCGAAAGGTAGTTTGAAATTAGGAGTTGGTGCCCGAGTGGATCGAAGTCTCTATAGCTCAAGTGGTTGTAGGAGCCAAAGGCCGTGGGTTCGAATCCAGCTCATGTCATTTGCTTTTTCATCTCAACTAGGACCTTAGATTAAAAGAATAATTAATTGAAATCATTCATTTAAATTTTCTAGGAAAAATTTGAGATATGACCTCGGTCATGGAATGAATTAAACTCGTATCTCAGTTTTGTTCCACTACCTATTGCCATTTTCTAAGAAGATTGAAAAGGCAAATTTTGAATTAAGCGTCTCGTGGATGAATGCCGACGAGTGCCAGACTCACAAACTTTTAAGACATAAATTTACATGAAATGGTCAGCATTTGAGGAACAATGATGTTGACATGCCGATTACAGTTTTCACCAATTGTATGAAAAAATACCTAATGCGACTCACATACTTGTGCTGTTGAGGTTTAATTTTTATCCTGGCTTTAATTATCTTTATCCTGGCTGTAATCTTCTGAAAAAAAGATATATTTGTTGAGTAAGTGGAAAAGAAGATACATTCTTGTAGCTATTGTTATATAAGATTTAATACGAATTTAACAGCAATAACAATATAATTAATTTGGTATACAACATGAATTCAGATAAATAATTTCCAATTCATTAACTCCTTTAAAATACAAATTGTAAAAACGTACAATATGATTTTTCTAAAAATAATAGTATAAAATTTAATCAATTTAAATCATGGAACTAGCGATAAGTTTCAAATTAACAATATAAATATAGTAGTAAAATACCTATTAAAAAAACTAAAATGTACACAGAACATATAATACATTAATGTACAATAAAATTTTGTAATCACTTTTTATTAAAAGACTAAATTATGTACAACTGTGACATAATATAGTTAATGCATACTAAAATTTCTACATCACAAAAATTAAAGTAACTTTTGATGTTCTTAAAGTCAAACTCAATATGGCTAAGCAAGCAATTATTACTCTTGCACAAATGAAAAAAAAAAAAAAAATGATAATGTACGATAAATATTGCACACTTCACTATGGCACAGTTTGAAATACTCCAGTCAAAATACAGTTTACAATATTTAACTTAAAAGTATATTAAGCGGTTATAATACTGTAGTGACATACTCGTCTATAAATATGGCTAAAGTTCAGTTCCATTATTAAACTTAAAAAAGTGAAATAATGTCAATATATTAATTAAATGCATAAATAAAACTGACAATTATTGATATAAGACACCAAATGTTTAAAAAAATTATAACACAAAACACGCATTCATGATTAATTATACCACATTATTATATTGCCTACAATTTGAATCAATTTTGACAATGCAAGGGAACAATTTATCTACACAATAAGCACATCCTCTTTTTCTTATAAATTATTATTATTATTATTTTAGCTACACATAAAACTCAAAAGGGTATTCTTTTACACATAGAATAGCAAATTTGACAAAATAACATCGCCAAGTCTTGACTTCAAGCATTAATAATTTATTTGAAGAGATCGCAAGCAAAATAATTCAGACCCAATTTGGTTAGTTTAAATGAGTAAAAGCATGTAACATTAATTCAATAAAATCTACAATTTTAATAAAATTAATGGTAAACAAAACGTTCCAGCATTATGTCATCAATAAAAAAAGCTACTTTTGTTTTAACAAAAAAAAAATTTATATATTCACCAGTATGTTGGTCAATGTTTCATATATATAAGAACTGAAAATCATGATGTATAGAAAGTCATATTATATTTGTTATTCTACCGTCTTAAAAGCCTGAATATTACATTCATAATACTAGTTATAATAGCATTTTTTCTAAAAACATCAATTTTTTTAATTGCTGCTATTCATAAGTATAATTTTGAATATGTTTAGGCATAGTATCAACTCTGTACAGTAACTACTTTTTATTCCAGTACCAAATGCTAAAGTACAAAAACCATAATGATAAAAAAAAAACATGCCTGATTTGCATGATTTTTCACCTAGCTATTATTAAAGTTAATCATGACAAATTTGTAGGGTAATACATAATGAGGCCCCCACGATTAGTTATATCGAAAAGTTTATACCGGTTTGTCAACAGTGAATTATACTTCAAATCAAAAAAATAATATCTGAAATGGTAAAAATGAATTAAGTGTAATGGAGCTAATTAACTATTTATTACAAACGATATTGTTATGGAATGCAAAAGGGCAGTGGAAACTATAATAAAACCCTGTATTTTGATCATTACCGATTATTTTGTTCTGTTTATCCTCATTGGGTAGGTTTGACAGTAGGATAGGCAGACCAAAATGATAATTAATGATCAACTATGCACACCATAGGAGGAAATCTCACGATAAATTAAAAAGGTTAATATAGAATCAAAATCAATAAGCACTTATCACGCTGACTACTGTGTCAGGCACTAAAACATTTCCTGGGCCTGAATTAATAAATTGTCTCACACATTGAATCCTATGCTCTCAACGAATTAAACTAGAAATGATAGAACTTGTTTTTCCAAAAGAAAATTATAAAAAGAAAATATGAACAGCGATGTTTAAAATTATTGTACCGTGGATAATTTGAAGAAAACTTTTAAATGGAATATATACACTGTTGAAAAATCGGTATTATAAGCAACTTATAAATTAAATCATCAACCTATTTATTTATTTTTTTTACAATTCTCACTCCTTGATATTTTTGTAATTCAGTTCAGTCAAAACATTCATTATTGTTTTCACGGAAAGTTATAGAATAAAACTTTTTGTTAACAATTTAACTTAATATATATTAATTGAGACCACCGATACACATACTTCTTAAGGTTATTGCATTTAATTGATCGAAAAAAATATTAACCGTTTTGCTAAATAAGAATTAATTAAAACAAATCAATCACAGCAAAATAAATCACAATTTAAAAATGGCAAAATTGGTTAATAGCTGAAAATATTGTAAAAATATAATAACAAACTCATATGCAGCTTTGAAAAACTTTTCAGTTCTAAGGGTGCTGGAGAAGAACCAACAGTCCAGTTTTTGTAAGAAATGAGCTTGTGGTCTGAGAATATAAAATGGCAGTGACAAGTCCCAGGGACTGAAATTGGAAAGTTTTCCACAAAATGAATTTTTTATTTTTTGCAAGAAAAATTTTGAAGCCAATAGTCTTAATTTTTGAAAAAAATTGTATACCAGACACCTCGATCTTGAAGGCCAAATAGGACAATTTGTACAAATAGAAGAAATACTTGAAGGACAGTAGGCTACAAATTTCTATAAACGATTGGCCTCCATAAAAGAAAGTGTGGATGATACATTGATTGACTGATCCAAAGGAAAAGTGACTTTTGTCTGTACAATTTGGTAAACATTTTGAAATGCTTTTTTAAAAATTCTATTGAAAACCTATTTTAAATGTTCTTTGCTGTTCTAATAAATATAATTTTCTGAACAAAAGATTGTGTTTAGATAATTTTTTCCTTGAACCTAAAACCATAATTTGCAATTAATTAGTTATAATTTGAATTTTATCCAAATCCCGTTTTTGAGGACTGAGATCATTCTTATCCAGTGCCCTTTATATACTTTTCTTGACTTATTTGGATAGTTTAACATTTTTTCCTCCTAAGAATGAATGTTACCAAGTCATATTTTATCTCTGACTTTAGTGTAATTAAATTAATTGGTGGAAAAAAGCTTTTTCTAAAATTTTATTAGTGATTTGCAATGCACCAAGAAGCAGGCGTTGACTTTTAAAAAAATTGCTATTAGATACCCAAATATACTTGAAAACTGTTCTGGATAAATTAAGAAAATTAATTTGTTTTAAATTTAAACAAGGACTATGCTCCTCTAACATCTGGCCTAAATTTATGTGGGCCAAAGATAAACAAAAAGCTATTACAAAATTAAGCCACGATAAAGTAAAATTGATTCAAAAGAAATATTTTTATTTAAAAACAGTGTCCTGCAAATACTCCTGTTATGGTTATTCTTACATAAAGAATAACCTATAAAATTATTAATGGCATCATTAAAAGATATTAACTTTCGTATATTAAAAACATAAAAAGGTTGTTTGTTTAAATACAGAATTACTAGTAATAATGCGTTTAAACATTTCCAAAAATTTCTCAAGGAACCGAGGTTTAGCATCACTTTAGATTGTGCCCTACACAAGAAAGAATGTTTTAAATCTTGATTTATGTAAAAGGAACTCAGGAGAAACAAGAAGCCCGTTTGATGAATTTTTACATAGGAACAAAGCAGAACCTTAAAGAAAATAAGAGGAAAACAAACAGAACGAGAGAAATAAGGAATAAAGAGTTAAACAGGAAAATCAATTGTGGTTGTAAACTTTTCAATCCATGACTACTTGAGACTGATATGAATTGATCAACAGGAGTTGGTTTTATTTTCAATAAACTGGTATGAACCCCTCATCTGAGAACAATTCAATGTAGAGTTCTCTTATCAAGTTGAATTTTCTCCCCCGATTAGTTAACCCCGGAAGTGTAGTTCTCTTGCGAGTTCGGCAAATGAAGCTTTTCCCCTTGGTTCAAACATTTTATTATTTGTGTAATTAATTGTAAGTTTTTACGAAAGATTTATCTTTTTATGGAGAAAAAATTATACTCAAAGGGCTGTCAGCCCATAACTAAAACAAACTACTACTACAGAATACCGATTGTGTTTTTTTACCCATGTTACATCCCTGAGATTCAAACTGAAATGAGCAAAGGGAACATATAAATGCACTCTTAAAAATCACATGTTAAGATTAAATTTAGTTATTATCAATGTTCATAATGTCGTTGCAAACTTTGGAAAACAGTTGAGAAAGCAGGTGAGTTAATAATAGCACAAAATGGACAAGGATCGAGAGAAACCTGTCAATCTGCGATGCTTTGTCCAACGATGGTTAACTGTTCTTTCAAAGCTCTGAATGATGGTCTGTCTTCTGGAGAATGTGACCAACATTGGCGCATTATCTGAAATAAAAGATATTCATATAATTATTAAAAGATAATGAACTGATATTAATATACTTTATATGAAATGAAAAAATTATATACAAAGTTTATAAGCAAAACTCCACAATTATTTCAAAATATAAGAAATATTTTATTCTTTTTAGCCAATTAAAAGTACTTATTTGGAGAAAAACTATTTAACAAAAGGAAAAGAAAGAGGTGTGAGCTATCCATGCTGGGTGTTTCATAACCAGAAGAATTTTAATTGAATAATTATCTCTTCCAGGATTTTGTATGTTTTTGTATATGGAAAAACAATACTAAAGGTCTTATTTTTCATGCTCATTAAAAACACATTGATTTATTTACAAATTATAAATCATTACTCTTTCCAATGCATAACAATATAAGTTCCAAAATATATATACAAAAGTTAAACTGTGTTGACAAATAATACATATTTATTTGATATTTAACAATTCTTTTAATATTTTTTAGAATATTTGTTTACATTAATGTTTGTAGAAATGATAAATGGTGGGGTATCGGTGATGATAAAAAATATTGTACAAAAATTGTTTATGATAAATGGTAGAGTATGTTGTTCAATCTTAATAAAAAAAGGTAGTTCCTACCCACAGTTAGTTGTTTTCAAAAATCCGGATTTCAAGCTTATACTCACTATCAGGTTGAAGACATTTACAAGCACATCTCTCAACATGAATTGTAAAAGTGAACTCGCCTATCCCCCGCCAATGCAACATTCCAATGAGAAGCTGGTTTTTAATGCTGCTCAATTTTCAACGTGTGAAAAGCAGGAATTATAACACAATTAAATATTATATTAATAAATACTGTAAGAAAATAATTATAAATTGGTGATTATTTGGGTTTTTTATTCATTAATTAATAAAAATAAAAATAATAGATTAGTAAATTAATGGTAAAAATAAATAATAAAATTAGCTTAATTAATTTTATGGCTAATATTATTTAGGTACATATTTAAAATAGGAGGTAAATCAAAATCTACTATATTATTAATGCGTTTATCTTCATGTTCCATTTTACATTTTGTTAATTTCAAAATCGAGCAGCATTAAAAACCAGCTTCTCATTAGAGCGCTGCATTGGCAAGGGATCGGCAGGTTCACTCTTACAATTCATATTGAGAGACGTGTTGATAACTCCTTCAATATGTTTATGAGCTATAAGCTTGAAATCCGGATCATTGAAAAAAACTAACAGTGAGTAGGAACTATCTTTTTATAAAGATTTAATGTTTGTAGGCTTGATATTGTGAAACGTATTTCACTTTGGCAAATAAGTGGAAAACATTACCAAACCAGCCCTGTCAATTTTTGTTCAAATTATTCCATTGAACTATTTCAATATAGATGTTTTTAGGCTAGATACAATTTTTTCTGCAAACATTTTTGCAATATCAGAAGTGTGCATGGGTTGGGTTAGGTACAAGGTGAGGTTGGGGTAACAACAAGGTTAGGTTAGGTTGGGCTGTAGACAAGGTTAGGATAGGTTAGGTTGAGCTAAGGACAAAGTTAGGTTCGGTTGGGCTTGAGACAAGGTAAGGGCTAGGTTGAACTAGGGACAAGTTAGGCTAGGTTGGGCTAGTGACAAAATTAACTTAGTTGACTAAGGTTAGATTAGGTACAAGGTTAGGCTAGGGATGAAGTTAGGTTGGGCTAAAGACAAGGTTAAGTTAGGTTAGACTGGGCTAAGGCAATGTTAGGTTGGGCTTAAGACAAAGTTACATTGGGCTAAGGCCAAAGGTAGGCGAGGGACTTATTCCATTAAACTATCTCAATATCGATGTTTTTGGGCTGGGTGCACAATTTTTTATGTTAACATCTTTGCATAATCAATTTTTGCAATATCAGGAAGTGTCCATGGGTTGGGTTAGGTTGGGTTATCATTAGGGATGTAACAGATGTGGGTTAAAGTTAGGTAGGGTTAGGGTTAGGCACGGGTTTTAATAATCTATATATCTATCTCCTAATTTTCTTTCTTTCTCTCTCTCTCTTTCTCTGAAGCAACATTTGAACATCAGCAAAATCAAAATTTTGATTTTTTTTTTTCAATCTATTTAATAAAATATAATGCAATTTGAACACATTGGGTTGTCTAGTTCACTGAACATGTTTAAGGAAATCTAAGCCTGCGAGGGTAGAAAGACCCAGAGGAGTGATCAAGTGACAAATAAAAAACATTATCATCTAACAAATAATTATCAATAAGAGTGAATTACTTATTACTATCAGTAGCCTTTTAAATTAAATTTTGGTAGTGGATAAACTACCACTATTACAAAACAATGTTTGTTGTTTAATCGCTGAACTTTCGGCAATTACACCAACATTTTGCAACTATGTTATTATCAAAAGTGTGATCAAGCTAGAGTTTTTAAGAATATAGTCACTTCCAATTCATTGAGTGGGTGTAGGACTCATTATATGTGGCAGATCATCTATTGGAACAGTTGAGTGATATAGTTAAAATATAATTTCTAAATTTTTGTTGATTGCTGTTCAACAGTTAACAATCAGCCAAACCAAACAAGTGACATGCTATCCTTCCTAATCCTAATGTTTTTCTAACATTCAGGCAAAATTAACATTTCCCAAGAGGCTACAGGGTTTAAGAGTTTTTTTAGGACGAAGATTATAAATGGGAACTTTACTGTTGGGTGTGTATAGGTGAAATCTGCCCACAAAACAATTTCATTGTGCTCAAATATCAAATAGTGATATANAAAAAAAAAAACATTTTGCACCTACATCATATACTTCTTTGTAACAATCAGGAGGCCTCTCTAGAATAATTCCCCTTTGAACTCTCTCCACGACTTCTGTGTTTTTTAACCGTCCATACGGCATCTTTCCACATGTAAACACTTCCCACATTAAAACTCCTGCAAACGACAACAGTTAACAATCAAGTGATTAACCGCATTGATAATTTCTTACCATATGCCCATATATCTGACTTAGAAGAAAATCTCGTATAATTAAGAACCTCAGGAGGTGCCCATTTTATTGGGAACTTAGTGCCACCAGAGCTTGTGTACTGGTCATCGAGAACATATCTAAAATAGAAAAAGATGTGCCAATTAATACATTTTTATTAATAACAGTTTAAACAAGCTGTGTACCTCGCTAAACCAAAATCTGCTACTTTTACTACATTTTCATGGCCCACGAGACAATTTCTAGCAGCCAAATCTCTGTGTATGTAATTGTGACGTTCAAGATATGCCATTCCTTTACAGACCTACAGATTTTTAAATTTGTTTAAAAATCATCTAAAAAATTGTATGCTCACTTCTTACGATGAAAATATTATGAATTATTTTAGCAATTTCATAATCAGTTTTTTTATGTTAAAATTGCCAATAAAATTTATTTTTTTTTATCTTCACTTATAGTGTCCTTTTTCATATGGACCAGCCACTTTTATTGCAAACAGAGCAAGACAAAAAAAAGTTAAATTGTAACCCCCTTTATTTTTTGAAAGGTATGTATTTTTCAATTAATTATACATGATTTTTCGAAATGAAAAATTTGTTTCACAGGCTAGATTCGAACCCACGATCTTCAGATCAATACTCTGATACTCTAACAACTTGAGTTAGTGTGGTTCCTTGGCCTTCCTTGGCCATCATCTGACTTACCCTCATGACATCTTTTTTTTTGGGGTTACCCTAGGTTTATGGAAATTTACAGCCCATAAATGGGCAGCAGGAATTACGAGAAAGGATCCAGGAAGCATGTAGTACGATAACTTCAAGTTGGTTGACACTGTACAACATTATTTCTAGTACAACTCTTTTAATTGTTTATCATTTAGTTGTAATTAAACATTTTGATTTTTTGTAAATTATTTAATTTTTTTCTTGGTTTCGTTTTTCAACTGTACGCACTATTATCTAAAAAAATTATTTATATTTCAGGAAATCCTTATCCGATTTCAATAAACAAACAAATCATTTTTCATGAAAACATACTTTAAGAATATTCAACAAAAAACAAAAGGTTGTATTTAAAAAAAAAAAAAGAAAGAAAGAAAAAAGATTGAATGAGGCATCATATATATGTGGTAGAAAAAAGCGTTTAAGTTTTTTCATTATATATAATAAACAAATATTACATTTTGTCATTTAACAATTTAAACTTGCACAAGGAAATCGTTAACTTTTAACCTAATTTCTGTTTACTNTTAACTTTTTTATACCTTGCTTTGTATACAGTAATAGTGACTGGTCTGAGCTTGATCAATCAGTAAAATAAATGAAAATATTGGAACTACAGGCTCTAATATCAAATGAAAATTAGTGTTGCCACAATTAAGGGCAATATTCTATGTAGTATAATCGAACAAGTTATAGCAAGCGAGTAAGAAAATTTCACCAATCATTGTAAAATGTATGAAATTAAATGTGATTATTTTTTATGTGCTTAGAACAATTACCTGGATGCACATATCAAGTAAAAGATCTACATTGCCAGCAATAGTGTTTTCATGACGTCGAAGATAGTTTAAGAGAGATCCATGTTTCATATATTCGGTTACTATATATATGGGTCTATGTTTACTACATACACCATATAATTGAACTAAATTTCCATGTTGTAATTTCCTAAAATGTTATATGAAATAAGCAAATTAAGTAAAAGTATGTAATGATGTGTTAAACAAAAATTGTTTAACAACAAACTAGTTGAAGTTACTAACGTCATCACTTTTGCTTCCTCAATAAAGTCATCTTCTGACATTGTACCTTCTTTCATCATTTTTACTGCGGTGTCAATACAACCTCGCCATTTCCCCCTTCTTACAACTCCAAACTGCCCTGAGCCAAGCTCTTCTAAAAGAATCAGTTCTGCTGGATCTATTTCCCACTTGTCTAAAAATAATTAATATGTTAAGTACATACTTCATAGTTAAAAAAATATGCAGATATATGTATACATAAAAATAATACCATGGCTTAGACCTGCTGTCGGTGGAACGGGCCGATCACAAGGGGATGTTTTTAAGCGAGAAGCCAAGCCCCCACTATTATGTCGGTGGTAGTTTATCAATTCTGGTATTGAAGGGCAGCAATGTTTTTCTGATAAGAAAAAATCACCCCGAGAATTTTGTTTTATGTGATAATGTTTCACATGGGCATGGGGACTAAAAAAACCATGTCACAATTAAACTCGATACAATCGAATTAATATAATTTTGTATGTATAATGAACATACACTCTTGTATATAAAGAAAGAGTATAAAGGCCTTTAGTTGAAGAGTTTCTCACAACAAAACAACCCTCTTTTTCCTCTTGTTTGAGAAGAGATTCTGCCCTTTGTCTGGACATATCTCCAACGTACCACCTGATTCAGAAAAGGTGAAAATAGAACCATTTAAAAAATGTTACTTTTCATATCAAGTTTTGCCACTTACTCATATTTTTGCAATCCCAATAACTCTTTCTCTTTCACATAATTACTTGGTATGTAGCCGATAGATCCATGGCTATCCTTAACCTTCCACCAATGCTCCTGTGAATCATCCAATACTTCGTACTCTGCTCCCTAGAAACGGAATGAATTGAACAATCAAAAGCTGTACTTGGGGTAAATAATAATTAACGACAATTACCTTTTCTAATGATAAGTCACCCCCTTCGATGGCTTTAAAAGGATAAAGGGCAACAACTACTTTCGGACGAGTCATAGGTTCCTGGTAAAAGAAGAAATCATAAAAATTGTGAAATAATAATTCAAAAGTTAGAATCGTTTATGCATGTTATGAACAACTTACTTTGAATTTATTAGCAGATGTACCTCCAGGCATTGCTTGACTACTAGGTGAAGCTATAACATTATTAAAATTAGCATTAAATTAATATTTTAAGAAGAAGAAAATAAATTTTATTTGTGGCTTTAGGTCCCCTTGAATAACAAAAAATACAAAATTTGGTACAATTTGTGTCAAAATGAATATATAAATTGGGATTTAAATGTAATAGCATGAAAATAAATGAAATGTATTAAATTAAATGAGAGGGGGACTGAACAGAAATTAAACATACCAAAACAACAGAAAATTAACCATCCTCAATGTTAAATTGGAAGGACAGGAGATAATAAAAAAGACAGGCCTTAAAGGTGGACAAGTTAAGTTAATTTAAAAGATTACAAATTTCAAAATAAACCATGTATAGCAAAAAAAATTCAACCATAAATTAATGCAATACCAACTAATAAAGTAACTACTGTTCAGATAAAAAGTTAAAACACTTTCAATTAAGTTGAGCAAAACTTTTTTGAATTTGTAATGAAAAATTTCACTTATAATTTTGTAAAGTCATCTGACATTCATCTTCACCTGAATTGGTTTCACGTATAGTTTGAGTTGTTGACCAGACTGTAGTATTTGTGCAACCAGCGACTGTCCTGGTAGACACACGGCAACAAGTCCAGCGTTTTCCGTTCCACAACCCACAATGGTAAGTAGTACTTACATCAGAATTTTCACCGCAAGCTGATTAAAGAAAAAAAATAATAACAGTATAAGAAGTTAGAAATCATCAGCTGTAACAGATTAAAATATTAAGACATTTCAGTTCATTTTATCCTCAAGCTCCCCAGTGAATCCCCATATTCAACACTTCCTGTAAATGGGGGAGAATAAGGCAAGAAATTAGGGATTTCGCTTACTAAAGGGGAGAAAGTGTTATGACAGAACTGACGGAGGGTGGAAAACTAACAGAAATCTGTGAGATATAAGACTTCCAGGACAAGGTCTGATCAAGGACAATCCAAGGTTCATGATTGAGAGACAGAATGAAATAGGGTGATTTTAAATTTTAAAGGGGGGATATGAGGTGGAGGAAGGAATGGAGCCAAACAATAGCTTGGGACTTTTCTACATTCAACTTGAGCCAACTTTCAGCGGCCCAGGAACTAATTGAGTTGAGTCCTAAATTCTTACAATTCAGCCTGTAAGTTAGGAGGTGGGAAAGAAAGGTAAATTTGGGAGTGCATAAAAGTGATTGAAACAATATTTTATAGATTTAGGGAAGTCTGTATCTGAAAAAAAGGCAAGCAGAGTTGTTTCAGCCAGGAGAGACTCCAGAAGTTTCTTCCAAAAATAGGTGAAAAGATGTTTGCTTATTTGAGAAGAGATTACTTGAGAACAGTTCAAATGAAAAGAGGTGAATCAGAAGGAAACTGTGGGAGAAAGAGGTTTTAAAACAGATAAGGTAATCTGCAGTATTAAAGGCTAGAAAAATCTAGAACAAAAATCAAGACTGCAAGTCAGTAGATAATGTAAATCAAGAGTTTTTTCATTAAAAAACAAAATATTGACGTCCCCCTTTCCAAGTAAAAACAAGTGAATATTACTAAGTATAAAACATTCAACACCTTTATGAAAGATGGTAGGAACTAAAGTAATATTTAATCGGGACTGCAATGACAGAAATCATTATGTAAGGGTTTTGAATAAACAGTTCTGGGTTCAAATCCCACTTTCAGATCCTGTAGCTACTATGGAATGAGTCTGTACTAAAACCATGATTAAAAAAAAAAAAAAAACTAATTTTCAGAGTGTGCCTACAGGATTTAGTCTGTGAGTTGGTGGGCACATGTTGAACAGGCACTTCACTCATGGGTTTTGTCCTGACCTGGGATTTTCCTGAACATACAACATAACTTCACTAATTCCATGGTCCATTTTTTTTTTTTTTTTTTTTTTTTTTNCTTTTTTTTTTTATTATTATTGGCCTTATGATCTTTGCATATTAGCCATGACGAATTCTTATATATGTTGTTCAATTGGGGGTTATCGGGAAAAAATGGCCAGAGGCGACGGTGGGAATCGAACCCACGACCGCAGCGTGAGAGTCTCTCATGCTAACCACTCAGCTACCGCGGTCCCCTAAAGGTTTTTAGTTGAGATAAAAAAGTCAATGGCACGAGCGGGATTCGAACCCACAATACAACATAACTTCCAACTCGCTGTCAAAACCCTTAACTTTTCTAAATGTATATTGTCGTGGCTCAGGTCAGAGAGACCTTGTTTGTTGAAACTGCAACCTCACAATGGTAAAGCGATTAAGATGCTGTGTGGTAAGGATACTGCTGAGCAAATTGGAGTTCTGCTTCATGAACTCTTATGCCGCACAATAAAAATGTAATAAATATTGGCCTGTTCTATGTCAGTGTGAATAGTTCTCATCATGGTTGATATTAATAAAAACCAATTTTAAAAATATAAAGCTCTTAAAGAAAGTTACAAAAGAAAAAGAAGAAAATAAAAATTGTTCTAAACGAATTATCACTCAGAAATTGAAATACTCATACCACAATATCAAGATAGAAACTGTGTACTTACCAGCAAAACAATGTGCCTGATTATATTTTTAGAGAATGGATTAAATATGGAATTAGGTATTGTTTATTATGATACAAGATCAATACGAAAATAACCAATAATTCCTTAGATATTGCATAAACAAAGTTTTGTCTCTAGGCTTCAAAAATGTTTTGATTGTTAATAATAGTAAAATTGTTTTCAAGTGAAAAAAAAAAGGTGACTAATTATCCAAATAAAAACACATATGTACCTGAAAATAATATCATTAGCACTTAGGAGAAAAATGATTTTTTAAATTTGGCTTTAACTTTAGCTAAAAGTGATCAATTTCAAAATTTATTTTTTTTATTTTTATTTTTTTATGCTGAATCTCCGATTCTAATGTATTTACAAAAGGCCAAAGTTATGCCATTACATGCAGTTTATAAGGTTCTAAACCATGTAAAATTTCCTGAGGATATGTGGAGTTGTTAAATAAAAGAATCACTGGAAAAATTGAAAGAACAAATTCATCGGGAGGATGAATAATTTTGAAGAAAAAAATTATTTATAAACTTGTATTCATACATTTTTTGGGAGTGTGGAAAACGAAAATCAACTTTGTTTCTTGCATAAAAAAAGTTAACCTACTTTGCTATGCCGCTTGGCCACTATGCCAAAATTGCATAATTGCCATGGGATGGTTTATATTGATATACATAATTTGTAATTTTTTTTTTAATCACAAAAATAGTTATCTTCAAACAATGCCACTGATCCATAGGAAACTTTATAACAATTTAAAACTTTATAGGCTACATGTAATGGCAACAACACAGCATTTCTAAATACATTAGAACAAGAGAAATACAATAAAAGGAGGAGTTTTGTTTTATTTCGACCTTATTTTTCTCACTTATAATGGCATAAAAGCCAAAGGTTGTTCATATAGCTTCAAAGAAGGAAATTGCAGCCTTCCAATGGTTGTAATACCATGGATATCAAATCCAGAGGAGCTCTGAATTTTTAAGTGGAACAGAGAACAAAAAAGCCCCAGCTGATTTAGTCCAAAAATGCCTATTATTGTTTGCTATAATAATTGTATTTAACAGCTTTAAAGGGTGCTTAAAACCGATCCGAATCGCTTCCTCCACCTACTTGACTGTTATTCTTTTCATTTTTTGGTGACTTCTTTATACTCTAATCTCATTTAATACAGTCGTCATATTATTTTCTTATCCACCTTAATAAAACAAATTGAGTGATGCACAACAGTCAGAACACCAAATTTTAAAAATATTGTATGTATTATTTAAAACATTTTGTTCCCAGCTCAGGAGGCCCATTGGATCCAACACGGGTCTAATATTTTTTATATAAAAACACAAAAAAAATATAATTGAAATCGGCGACCCAGCCACCTGAGGTTCTTGTCAGTATAGGGCTGTATCTTGAACTCATACAACTTATAAATTTATTCTCTTTGTATTAGTTTCAAAGCTCTGACCAACTTCCTCTTTGGCATCATGTGAGAGACTTTAGTCTGTAACCAATCTCCCACATGATGCTGAGATTATTAAATTATGAAATAACAAACGACAACAAGAGAAAAATTATATAACATATTTTACTGTTTCCACAAATAATAAAAAAACAGAAGGGGATTGGTTTAAGTATTGGTTTGAAAAATAGATGTATATTTTGCTTATTGATGCTTTGATAACCAACCTAAAATTAACGCAAATAAATTTCATATGATTTATAATTTCAAACTTGTCCTTTACTACAAATAATCAATAGCATAAAATAAAATATTTCAAAATTAATAGAGATTAATTTCATATTATCAAGTTTTATGCATNTATTTTCAGTCGGCTTTTGTTAATTTGAAACTAGATAATATGAAATATTTTTTGTAACAAGGGGTGAGAGAGAGCTTTGTATAAATCAAAATGTAGCCACTTCCTCTCTTTATAATTTGACTTTTTCTTTAGAATGTTTCTCTACATTTCAACATATTGTTTACCTCCTTACAACCTAAAGTTTCTTCTAATTTTCTCTAATTTGTTATGTTTGACGGCCACAAAGGATGCCAGGCCACATTGAAACCAAAACCGCTTCATGAATTTTCTTTAATAATGCTTAGCAATGTTCAATTTTACAGTTGATCTAATGCCTCTTTTTTATTATTTTTATGTTTTATGTATGTACAATTTAAGTAAGGACTTTTAGAAATGCACATCAACTCTTAATAATTATTTTTTCTTTCCTCTTGATAATTCAAATTATTTTTGTAGTCACTTACGTTTCGAATTATCAAGAGTCGACAGTAGTAGTATGTATGTTAAAATATATTAAGATATCATTACACAACTCCTAAAAAATGGATCAATAAACAAAAACTACTTGGACCTATGATATCGACTAGAAACTAGAAAATTTCTGGAATATTTTACTACTTACTTGATCGCAGTACATTAATCCAGTCATCCCTTTCCTGTGATTTGCTCGCGAGCAAATAGAGCGTATAATCTTGTCCAGACTCCGTGTATCCCACTTGAAGTGGTGAACCCTGAGGCACTGAATTTTCCCCGCTGCTGTCTTGTAGGTTTGCTATTTCCACAAACCGGACTGAACTCAACAGAATTTTACCCCTTTCTTTGCGTTTCTAAAGTTAAAAAAAAAAAGTTAGAAATTTCTGCACTAAAAAAAAATTATAAACTATTGATCAATAAAATAATTAAAAATAAAGAAATGCAACAGATAACTTGAAGGGTAAGTAAGGAAGAAATAATGATTTTGCAAAATGGGTACCTGTTCACTTTATCAAACCAAAGCTATAATCCCAGTTCATTGAAATAAAAAACATTTTGAAACTAAATAACTTATTTGTCCACATTTTATCCACTACATTATGATTTACACGTGCCTATTCTCTAAATACCTAAAAAACAAACTGCTAAGCAGCAACAATTTAGCCTACTTTTCAACCAAGCCCTACCTAGTAATCCCAACCCCACCCCATCATGTAACAGTGCTGAAGCACAAGTAATAAGGGGTGGCCTTTTCAATGGTAGTTCAAAATTGTCCTTGCTAAAATTAAAATTTTACTTTTCCAGCTATTATTAAATAATTCAAGTTATTTGACAATTAAAATATATTTTACTAAATATTTTTATACCATGAACATATTTTTATATCACTTGTAATCACTAATTGTACAACTTGTTCAACTTGTCGATCCATAAAAATAACAAAAGGAAAAAAATACGTCCGGTTTAACAAAAGTTAGAAATCTCATTATTGTTTAGCATTACCCAATTATTGATTATTATAGTAATAATAACATGGGTGTTACCAGATGTAGAAGAGCAGTATTGATTTTTCAAACCACCCTCTTAGTCATACCTCCCCTCCTGCTTCAGACACTCACACCAATGATACATTAAAACCTCCCCTTTCAACCACCCCTAAGCAAGTCCTGTTAAACATTTTATCATTCGTCACTGCACCTACGTGCTAATATTTTAAATTCAACCGTACTATCACACATATATTTTTATTATATTATAACAGTTTAATTTTAAAAATTTGCAGAAGTAAAGAAAGATCCAAACATAAAAACTGACTCCAAATCAATACTTGAAGGGGTGCAATTGACTATCACACTTTGTAAACCATTTCTATTATATATTTAATCACCTCTAAACAGTACTAAGTGTTTTTAATTATGTGCTTAACTATTATGGATAAATACTTCTTTAGAGGCCATCATTTACTAAGTTAATAATTTTTTTATATATATTTTACAATCAAATATGTAAATTGTTATGGTGAAATCAAGCCATATAAAAAATAAAGTCATAATCAAAATTCTGCAAATATAATTAAATTAGATTAGTATAAAGGAGACTGACAACATGAAAGAACTTACATTTTTGATCCACCTTTGTAAACTATTCTCAAAATCATAAGAAGTGAAAGCAGGGCTTTATTATATTACATTTCTTATTTATATTTATTAGAATTTATCTCTAGCAAACCCTCTAAGACTCAAGATGTCGTCCATGCAACTGGAATAACTAATTTTCTAGACCTCCCTAATGTTTGGCAGAGTAGATGAGTAAAAAATAACAATGTCCATCCTCATAAATATCTATAGGTGCAATTAAAAGTGCATGGCAATAATACTTACATCTCCTTCAGTATCATAGTACACCAATTGTTTCCTAGTTAAAGTAAACCAACGCTGTTTATAATTTACAGGAGTGAATCGCTTTTTGTTTTGAGACCTTTTTATCATCAGCCCTTGTTTAATAATTTCATCATCATCATTTCCGGCCATTACAGTTTTGTAATTATCCTAAAACAAAAACAAAAAATCAATTTTACTAGGAAAAAAGAAACAAGATTATGAAATATTACAAGCCATCATTACCAAAGTGTTAACTTATTTATCAAGCTTCATTTACAATTAATACAATACCAGAATTTATATGCGACAATATAATATTGGGTTGTAAAATAAGTCTATAACATTTTTCAATCATTTGATTTTATCCCTCACGTGTTTTGAAGCAATTTTTATTCAGTCATTATTATTTACACACTGAAAACATATTAGTTAAGATATTTTTATTCATAAGTTTCATTCAAGATCTAGTATTTTTACTAGGTAATTTACTAACTTCAAATGGAGGGAAAATAGTGTAACCTGGTTATTTAATTTTTTTTAAATTATTATTACCGAAAAGGAAAAAAAGCCACAGCCACAGACTACTAGGATAATTTGTGTGATGGAAGGGATGTGTATGATGACACTTTAAGAGAAAGAACTGTCCGTAAATTATTTGCTTAGTTTAGTTATGGAGATTTTGATTTCAAATACACAAAACACACTGGTCGTCCTTCAACTGTGTTGACGGTGACCAGGTTAAGCTTTTGTCTCAAATAACCCATAATGAATGATATGAGGCATCCCAGAGATATTTAACTGGATATGTTTGTCAGAGTGATGGGTTCTTCACATGTTCACTGAGAATTTATTGAACCCATATTCATCTATGATTCCCTCCTAAAACGCAATGTAAACGGCCGTTTTTTTTTTGTTTTTTTTTAATATAGATAACCAGGGATGAAAAGAGGGTCCTTAGAACCTGGGAAAAATGCAGCGACCCATTTTTAATACTTCAAAAGTTGGATTACGTCCCAAGAAGTAATGTGTATTTAGTGGGATTCCAAGAGGTTGCTAATGATTTATGAGCTTCTACTTCCCACCAAACTGTTAATTATAGTGTGTACTGCAGTAGTGGAGCGATTTAAGTCAAAAATTGACCCAAATCTGGCATTGGTTGATCACAAAACAAAAGGGATCGTTTTGCACCAGGATAATGCTCACCCCATGTCTACACAGATGTCCCAGATACTGTTAGAGCTAGGCTAGGAGGTCCTACCCTACCCAGCATATTCACCACTTAACACAACCCCTTTCAGATTTTCACTTATTCTGGGGTCCTCGAAATTCGAATAAAAGAAAAACTACTACACTTGAGGACTGTTGTAAATCCATCAAGGAGTCCATCACTCAAAAATCTAAGAAGTTCTAATAGGAGGGAATTATAAAGTTACATGAAAGATGGCAACAAGTAGTGGAACAAAATGGTTCATATATTTTTTATTAAATTTTAATTTACCATCAAAAAACGCTATGGACTTATGTTACGACCTGATACAATTAAAAATTAGTAATTATTTTTTAACAGACGGATGCTTACCAACCACAACCAATGTTCCAATCCAAGAATCAGTGAAAAGTTTAACATGCATCGAACAGTCTATGTGCAGATTTCCAAGAACATTTACATTAATTTCATATTGATTTATGTGCGCAAAACATAATTATATGTGCGCCATTATAAAATCTATTTTATAATGTCAATGGTAATTAGTTGTTGATTATAAATTAGTGCAGTAATTTACATGTGATTCTTAATATCTTGATTAAACATTTTAACAATTATTTTCATTGTTAATATTCATAATTACATTTATTTAGATCAAGTCACAATGTTTTTTGTTGTTTTTTAATGTACACCTTACCTTTGTGTTTTTCTTAAACAACTGCAGTTTTTCTATTTTGTATTCATCTATTTAATAATCGACAAAGTAGGGGAAAGACCTCTTAAAATGATTAAAACAATGTCACACTGCTGTAACAATTCAATATTGAATAAGCACAAATATAAACATTACAACTGTCAAAAAAAAGACATTCTTAATTTTCAAATTTTAGAAGAATAAATAAACCATGTTGTATATAACAAAAAAAATTAAAGTTTGGTTTAAAATGTCAAACTGTACAAGAAGTCTTGTATCAATCAAAAAAGAATTTGAAAATGAGTACCAAAAATTTTTTAAATTTAAATAATGACTTTGATGAAGGTGAAAGCAAACATTTGATAATCTAATAAAAATATTTATAAGAAGAGATCAAGTTAACAATTGAGTAAATAATGAATGAAAATTCAAATACTATTTTTAGATTTAAAAAATTAGCAGTCATTATTATACTTATATTATTTACTTAATTTCCCAGCACAACTATACAAAAAGCTCTCTTACATTGTGTTACAACTGAATTTTAATGTGTTTTTTTTTCTAATAAGAACAACAACAAAACAAATGAATTTATACAAATATTCATAGGTAATATTCATGAACGCAAAATCAGATCTTCTAGTCTAACTGAAAGATAGAGATATGGAAAATCACTAGCATGTTGTCCTTTCCCTGCATACATTATAATATTTTCTTTTAAGGTTCCACACGTTTTAATAAAAAAGATATAGATATATTTATTGTATTTTTTGTTATTGTATGTATTGTATTATGTAATTTGGTCCTTAGTAAATTGGTCACCAGGATGCTTGGAAACACTGAAGATGGCGAAATGTCAAAGCATGTCTCAGACCAACCCAGCGAGGATAGGTAAACCAAGATGACTGGTACAGACCAAATTAGGAGAACCGAGTAGTCAGTGTGATACATTCTCGGCTTGTAGACCCAGCGGTCGTGGGTTCAATTCCCATTGCCCCAGGTCCAGGAGGAATAAAAACACCAAATAACCTTGCTGTCCATTCATTTTTTCTCCATGAGAGATAGTATCATAATTTTTTTTTTTTTGGGGGGGGGGAACCAGACTTAAAAGTCCCTTCATGGCTGTTCATATTATTTTTCTACTGATGGCGGTGCAAGTGTTAGTTTAACCTTAGGTTTTGCAATTTAGCATTCTCGAGCTAGTATTTGAGTTTAATACTTTGATGGCTGCCTGACTATCTGACATTACAGTCTTTGTTTTTATAACCTCTGTTTAAATTGAATTTAGTACATTTTTGGGCCAAAAACTCCCAACCTTGTACCTTCTTGCATCCTAGATCAATCAGTGTACCAACCAATTATATGGTTAGTTGTTATAATTAAAGTTACAAAATAATTCCTTACATGTGAAGGAAGAAGATGATGTGGATTTGGCAAATTTCAAGAGTTATAGGGTGTCATTCCACTAAATTAAATAAGTTTTAACATGACTGGTTTCGCAATTTTATTTCTCGCATCCTCGGGTGCTAACATGAACAAAACAACAATTAACCTACTTAAGGTTGTTGGAGCATTGTTTACTTCAAACAATACTAGTCAGTCAAGACAATGGGACAATATTCTATTCCCAAAATGTTTTATATATTGTATTTTGTTTTATATTTATACAGTTTAACAAGGTGTGTCCTTAAAATGTCACCTTGACTTTGAATATTTATATCAATAATAACTAATTGTTGTTTGGTTCATGTTAGCACCTGAAGATGCGAGAAAGAAACTTGTGAAACCGGTCATGTTAAAAAGGTATTTCATTTAGTGGAATGACACCCTCTACCTCGTGGTTAATAAGACATTAGTCAACTTTGAACTAACGTTTCCCCACCGAAATTAAATAAATGTTTTAACACACAGATACTTTTTTTATCCTGTATGTACAGAGCTGGGTTCTTATTGAAATTTATAATATCATTTATGTTCTAAAATGTACCTTACTATTTGCCAACGCTGTGGGCCTGATGGAAGAGAAAGTAAGAAACTGAAACCGCACTAATATTTATTTTCTGGTTGATGAAATAATGGTTTATTACTATTACAACGTATTATAATTTTAATTAAGTCAATATATTATTATTTAATCTTATTCAATAAGTTGGAAATTTTTAATTTTCACAGTGAAGCACACAATTTTATATAAGTGTGGGGAACCTATTCTATTTTTTTATTTAATGAGATTTAGGGCAGATAATTGCCAATCAATATGAAATTAATACATTTATATGTAAGATGAAGATGAAAATCTGAGATAGAAATAGACAAGTAAACCTGTTGACAAAAGTAATTTGAAACTAATGAAGTTAATATGTAGCATTAAGAATTGACGCAATAATAACAGTGAAAATAATAAAAATAAAAGAGCAGAAAATGAAAACAAGAATATAGGTTCAATTTAACAGGTAAAAATATAAAACAGAAATATATAAAAAATATACTTACAAGATCATAACGATCATGGTGACATTTCAGCCAATTAAAGCGAAAACTCATATGTTTTAAGCACCAGAACTATAGACACAAAAAAATGAGATTCCTAGCTTAAGCTGCTTTGCTGAGCGTAAACATAATAAAACCATACAAACCTGGAGAATTTTCACAGCTGAAGGGGAGTCCAGTTTAATTTATTTAATGTTTTCTTGTTTCACCTGGAAGCATCTCCTCCCACTTTAATTGTCTTGGCAAAGTTACCATGTCACTAAAAGTAAAAAATAATAATAAGATTATACTTCTACAGTATCGTTTCTGAAATAGATTGTCACAAAACGTAAAACTACCAGTAAACAGTGTAGTAGTAAAGATAATAAAGTAGCAAAATACATGTAAAACATAAATAGTTTAAATTTGGGGAAAAAACTATGAACAAGGACAATCGTCAAATTGCCCATTGGGTGTCATAGATGAGGGTTCAAACACTTTACAATAGTTTTTTCATACTGTTCTCAATTGAAAATACATGAGCTAAACCAGGATTCAAACCCAGAACCGCTAGCATGGCAAATGCAAGTTTAACATCCTAACCAGTTGGCCACTGCATTCCCCATTTACATCCATAACTACAGGAACCAAGCCTCTTAAATGATTTAAAATGAACTACAAGAGTATAATGATTTTTACTTTTTAGAAAATTGTGTTTTAATTGATTCTATGAACAAAGTATGTTTGCTGCTCACTTGAAGATTTAATCACACCATTTGATTTCTGATTCTATATTTTATTCCTACATATTATATGTATATGTAAGTTCACAAAATAATTACCCATATGTAGTATGTGGAAATTAATTTTCAAAAACTGGTCAACTTTTTAGTAAATCGTGTTTACTCTTGATAAACAATATTTGCCATTCACTTGAAGATATAATTGTACTAGAACCATGCTGATTCAATTTTGTGAGAAAAAAAGCCACAATATGAAAACACTTTTGATAAGCTTGATAAAATGAGTCAAAAGAGCATTGGATTTTAACATACAACAGAATATTGTACACGCGTGAATCAACACATTTTCGCAGCAACTTCTCCCAGGAAGTTTAACATTTCAGAAGAATCTTTCTTCAATTTTGTCCTGCCATATATCTTGCCTTGATACACTGTATTTAAAAAATATTCTCTTGTGATAACCTTCACATTTGTTTTGATGCTCAGAAAACAAAAAATAAAGAGAAAAACAACTGGGTCATCAGTAATGCAAATTTACACAGTGAATACTAATCAATACTGCACTAAGTGAGGGTTTAAAAATGCTCAGGAGCAATTAGCCTAGAATTTTTCAAAGTTACCTTTTATATTCCTTTTTTTGCCTTTTAAATTATTTATCTTAGTAAAAGCAATTTCCTGCTTAGAATTTATAAGAATGGACCATTAATGTTCATGTGGCCACAATAGTGACTACATCAATTATTTTAATTTTTAATATAAGTTGCAATCAAATAACAGAGTATGTGCCAGTTAGATGCAAACAACAAAATCTCTGGGTAAAAGCACAAGTCTTCTAGGCAGAATTAATTAGCATGAATGCAATTTGCAAGGAAACCCAGAAATAAACCGTCAATTTGAACAGTCAAGTGATCAAAGCTTTGTAACTGGAAACAAATTAATTCGAAGCTGATACACAAATACACCAACATCCAATCACTAAGGGTTCCAAGGCATAAAGGACACAGAATCAATGTATAATTGTAAACTTGGCAAACAATGGATATTTTCTAAATTTGTAGACATCGAGCGTAAACAATTCGACAAACTACATCAAAGTGGTCACAGCACAAAGGGAAAGAAAGATTGAGCCTCAGCTTATAGAATGTAGATATAGCATCAAACACCTAAGTTAATATATGTTAATGCGATAGTTTGGCGCGTGCGCGCACACACACACACAAACCCACACTCATATGTTAGTTTTACTTTTCATTCAGCAGTAAAAATTTGAGAATGCTAAGAAGCTTGAAAGAGCACCTGACAAAAAAAGTACACATTATGGTGATTCTCGATTTTTTGCAGAGGCAACTTCAAATTAGCTGAAGCAAACTTCAAAACAAACACCATCAGGTTTAAATAAAGCACAGTCGAACATGCCATCAATATAATTTTTCACTGTTTGCTACTAGCATGGGACCAGGCCTTTAGCCTAAAAGACCTATCAGCAGGATGACAAGAGGGAAAACCACCTTATGCGTAATCTTCAACCCACAACCAAGTAGAGTAAGAATATGGCATTAAATAAATTATATTAAACCAGGTTTGAAGACATCAAATAAACAGACGAACCCATAACAGGAGCCAGAACCTCAAAGCAACTAATCAAATTAGCAAATTGACCACTTTTATTAAGCAGTAATGATCTTATAATGCTGACATGCTTGTAGCAATTACGTTCCTCAATGGCACACATATACGTCAAACAGTTTATCTTAACGGTGTATAAAAAACATCATAACAAACACGTAAAACACTCTTTAAACGAAAAAGCACATGAAATATTAGCACGAATGGCTGTTGTGCCTGGAAAACCGATCAGCCCATTCCAGACTATCCTTCTAATAAATATATGTAAATTTTGGACAATTTAACGTTGTGAAAATGGCTTTGTTTATTTTTACCTGCCTAATTTAGTATGATAAGTTTATCGAATAAAGAAGTGTTAAATACACATTGAAGAACATTTACAATGGCTGATATGAAAAGGAGATAGTATTGACTACTAAATAGACACAAATGTTGCATTTAAAAAGCCAATCTTTCACATACATACTATTTAATAATTTTTTTTTATATGTTGACTTTTTGACCATCAATAAAGGTCTAACTTTAAATTAATTGAGTTTTTTAGGCTTCAGTGTTTTTCTTATTGATTGGATTATAAAGCAATCTTTTCTTGCAAAAACACCAAATGTTTTTCTTAATAAAGACAGTATTAAACTAATCTAGCCTTAGTTAAGCCTTTAAAAAAATCAATATGATATAATTTAAAATTAACATGATCAGTGCCGAATCCCAAATTCATCCTATTTTGCATTATGAGTACAAACTAGAGTTAAAGCAACTGCTCATACAAATGCTCAGTGTTTGGAGTTGTTGCATCATATACTCTCAAGGTGCAATTTTGTTTTTAGAAATTTCACAATGAGGATGCAAGACCAAAGGTTTTTGATGAGATGCAATTGGAGATTAAATTCAAACAGATCCACATAGCTTCCAACTGCCTTGAATTACTCATACCATACATAAAAGTGTACTGACAATGTAAGTAAAGTTAAAAAGTCAATTCTTGTCATTCAGGAGGGCTTAACATCCAACTACCCATTGCGTGTCACAAACGAGGGGTCAAACCATTTTACAACACATTTTGCATACTATTATCAATTAAGAAGCAATGGCTCAGCCAGGATTTGAACCCAGAACCCCTAGCATGGCAAATACGGATGCCCTAAACAATCTGCAACCACTACCATTCACCACATCGTATCAATACAGGCAGGACAGACCTGCAGTCAACACACTAAAAGAACACACAAGACTGGATTGCTAGATGCTAATTGATAATTCATCAATTGCTATCAAATAAAAATATGATTGACACAAGGAAACTTCCATCAGAGAAAACTTTTACTTACTGTTTTCTTGACTTCCAAAGGTGCATTATGGGCTTTTTGCCTCCTGGTTAAAACACCATTATGACAATTTAACTGACTCTAGTAAGTTTGTTAGTTTATCTATTTTTAGTTTACAGACAAGAACAGATACAATTTCGGATATAATCACTTGTAAGGAAAAATGCTTCCTGTATAATAATTTTAACAGCCATAAGCCTCTTCACTCAGTGAAAAGTTTTACTCACTATTTTCTTGACTTGACAATAGCCTCAGACATGAAAAATTTGACAACCAACTAAGTATTGAACCAGAGTTGACTCTTTCTATGACTCAATAAACTATCTAGGATTTTTTTCAAAAGTGCTTTGCGCTTTCAACATCGTGCTCAACCTTGCTTCTCGATGAATAAGGGTAGTCAAAGGCAACAGAGATTATTTCAAGGAAGAAAATTTTATTAATATGGTCCGTGTTGAACCAAAAATTTGCCTTTTTTGCTTAATGAGCCCAACTGAGGCTGCTTGGAAAACTTCTTCCGTGTTTGGTGATGGTTCATTCTCTATCAAGAAGGTGCAATTTTGGTTTTAGAAATTTCATGATGACAGACCAAAAATTATTGATGAGAAGCAATTCAGGTACATGAAGTTTATTATCTATCCTTAGCTCCCAGCTAAAAACAAATACTGTTTTAGATGCTAGTAAAGAAAAATGTATCCTGTAAGTCTCTTTAATCAGAAAAAAAAGTTTTACTCACTATTTTCTTGCTGCTGCCTTCTGATCAGACCTACTCGAGCTTTCAAGCTCAGTGTCATTTAAAACTTAAAAACTTTGAACTAAGCTCTTAAGACCTGTCACCAATGGATATTTTAAAGGTCTCAACAATAAACTTAGGCAGGAAAAAAAAACTGACAACGTCTCAAACAAAATTGACTCTTTTGTCACTCATTCAACGATCAAGAGATTTTTGACCTTGCTTCTCGTTTGGCAAGTGTAACAAAAGGAAACAGATTACTTCAACAAATAAAATTGTATCAATATGGACATTGCTGAATCTCCAAGCCCTATTTTTGCTTAAAAGCAACTGAGGCTGTTTGATGCATAATCAAAGAATATGTGTGAGAAACTTTGTCTATCCTTAGCTTTTAGTTAAAAACAGATACGATTTTGGGTAGAATCACTTATGAGAAAAATGTATCCTGTAGAATAATTTTAAGCAGTCATAAGCATCATCAATCAGAGGTTTTACTCACTATTTTCTTGACTTCTAAAAGTGCACTATGATGAGTTGTTGGATCCTGATCAGACCTACTCTACCATGCTTGCTCGGTGTCATTCCAAACATAAGAACTTTAAACTAAGCTCTTCAGGCCTGTCACCAACAGATATTTTAAGGGTCTCAACAATAGCCTTAGGCAGAAAAAATGTGAAGACTGACAAAGTCTTGAACCAGAATTGACTCTTTTTATGACTCAATCGACTATCAAGAGATTTTCGACCTTGCTTCTCGTTGGACAAGGGTAATCAAAGCCGATAAAGATTATTTCAAACAAAGAAAATATTAATTGCTATAAGGTTTTTTTACCCACTTCAAAAATTTATGCTATATGTATCAAACTGACAGGACTTTCTGCGAAGGCCTGGTACAACCAATTTTGTCGTATCATATTTGCACATTTGGCGACGAACGTCCATATAAATCGAAAAGCAATATTTAATGGTCATTTCAGACATATTTCCAAAAAAAGTAAGCCCAAGATTATTATTTTAGGAGATGCTTGTCTGTTTAACAAGGTGAACAACAGGTGGAAAATTTTCAAATTAATTCTGCCCCCAAAATACCAACTCTGAAATGACACTTTTAAAAAGAAAAAATTATACATTTACAAAACAAGGATCAGAAAAACATTATGCGAAGTACTCCAGGAAGAAAAGTTATAAAAACGAAGAGGAAAATATAAAAAAAACTGGTTTAAGTTAATAAGACGATAACGGAAACTATGTAAACAGCAAATTCGTGTGAAAATTAAACAAAATAAGTAAATAAAAGAGGAAAACTCACGTTGAAAACTAAGGAAATATCTTCACTGCTGCCGATAATGCACATATCATGTAGAGGTATTTATTTTGAAACTCGCTGGCACGGAGACGAGAAGCGGTGTAGAAATATGATAAAAAATAATTGATTAATTTCCGACTCGAAATGAAAAAAAAAATCTGTACAAACTATCAGAGGCCGGAATGTAATTCAACAGGTTTTCTCTGTTTTCATAACCAATGCATCCTTTATTAATGTTTATAAAGACACTGATTACAAAGAAGTATCGATTTTTCACCTGCTGCTCAATTTTTTTTCCCCCAGAAATTAATTAAAGCCGTGATCTTCTGCGAGTATTTTTTACCAAAAGTAAAATATTGATGGTTAAAAGAGCAAAAAAAACAAATGGAATAACAATTAAAACTATATTTTTCCAGTTTGACGATACGGTCGACGTAGTAGACGAGCACGTAGGGAAATTTGTTGCCTGCGTTGTGATCAACCAAAAAACAAAAAACAAAGAAAAAGAGAGAGAATGAAAGAGTCAAGAGAGAGAGAAAGAGATAGCCACTGTCATCAGACCATTGCACCTTTTTTTTAAATATATTTGAAGGCCAATTTTATTGATTTTTAGGGTAAAAAGCCTGCCACCCGTTCAACTTGCGACAGGCGTTAAAATCTCCAGCTCACTCCTCCCAAAGTCCCAACGTCAACAACAGTTATGCTGGACAACATACAGTAACGTCCAACGAAAAGACAGAAAGAATTTTATTTTGCATAAATGTATTAGAGAGGTCATATAATAATTTACATAAAAAAATAAATCTTAAGTATAAATGGCTACAATATTTATTATATTAAGCTAAATTTTGATACTACGCAGGTGGACAGTATTAACGCACCGGCCATAAATTTTAATGTAATCAGGTTTATTCATATTTTGCAGACCAAAATAGGTTTGGTTTTAAAAATAAGACTTTTAAAAAGAAAATGTTTATTACCTAATTCTACAAAAACAATTATTAAGTTGAAAAAAAAGAAAATACAAATGTAAAAAAAAGAAACTTTTTGTCTCCTTTAATACCAACTATTTCCACCTCTGGCTTGAATCACGTCCGTTAAATGCCTTCGAAATTCCTTTGAAAAGAACAGCCGTTTCCACCTCTTCCAAGTTATGACCGGGTTTTGCCGTCGTACTCGTCGGTAAAGTTGGTCCCAGATGTGTTCTTATCTGGATTTCGAGTTGACCAAACCAAGCACTCAATTCCAATCTCATTCAGGTAGTCATCCACAATACGTGCTCTATGGGGGGCTGGATTATCCTGCATTAGCAAGAATTTCTTACCAATACGAGGAGCAAATGATAGTACAGGTTCTTCGATTATGTCTTGTGTACCTCTGTAAAGTTAGTTAGAGATCTTCCTCGCACAACAACCATTTCGGTACGGCCGTCCAACGAAGTGCCACCTAGAACATCAATGACTCACCGTGGAATTCCATCTGAGGACCTTACGCTATGGGGCGTACATTTCTCCTGAGCGTCTCCAGGTGAAATTACACCCTTCTGAGGATTTGAGGCCAACTCTCACCTCATCTGTAAAGAGAACTCGTCCCCAATCTTCCAATATTTAGGACTTAGGGAATTATAATTTTCTTATAATCCTGCTGAGAGATTCTTTGAGAGTGATAGAGGAGATCCTTGCCTTCCTTTCTCAGAGATATATAAATTTATCATATCTGGTTCTTTTACCCAGTGCTTGTTTTCTTTCTCAAGTTATTTTTTACTGCTCCAACTTTAACCCACTCTCCAGTGCAGCTAGTTGTGATTCTGGTCCCATTGGTGAGAGGGCTGCCGCTTCTCTGGCTAATCGGTCATGGAACCCACCGGTAAGACTATGTGCAGCTGAAAGCATACATATTTAGTGCCTTTATAGCTTTCTGACTATACTACTATAAATATATGTAAATCCATGCACCTTTAATTTTCCTTTTTACCAACTCTTATGCACAGAGTGGGATTGCGTAGACTTCAGCTTGGAAGATAGTTTGAACCGGTCCAATTTGCTGGGGTGTGATTCAGCCCTTGTACCCTTACACATAATCTCTATTCCATGTTTGATCTGATTGTTGGTATACCATATTTTTACCCCCTTTCTGAAAATTAGAGTTGCCTTTCTTCCAAAAATCTGTGTCATCGATGACCACTTGAGAAGGTCTATTGAAGTTATTAATTTGAATCTCAGGAGCCTCTTTTGAGTTTGTTGGTAGTATCAAAAGCCACCTTTTCGCACTAGTGCCTCACATTCACAACATGTGATGTCTCTGGTTTCCGTTGACAGATTCTTTATGTTTCTATCTCTGCTTTGCTCATCTTCTTTTTAAGTTGTAGTTAAGTGGATTTATAGGCTTATAATCTTCCCCAAATCTTGCCTGCTGAGAGAAAAGAGTGCATAGACCTTCCCTTTTCAGAGGTTTAAAAATCTCTCAGCTTACCTGGTACTTTTATCCATACTCTTAATCAACTTAAACATGAATTTGTAATTTCACAAGTAATTAGGTTTGCTCATTAAAAATTGTTTATTTGTATCAGAACATTTGTAAATATTGTATATTGTTGAATTTATGTCTTATTTACTTCGTCATTATTCCTAACTACTTTATAAACGTTAAATCTGTAAAAAATATAGACAAATTTGTGTAACAAATTATTTTTCTGACACTTAAGATAATAGCGTCCACCAATATGGTGGTAGAAGGGACGGGGAAAATCAAAAATCATATCCCATTGTAAAGATTTAAACTTTATTGATAACGTGCGATAATCGTCCTAATTTAATAACACTTTTAAATTTTTTCAGAATATTTATTTCTGAGTTGAAAAATCCTAATGGTTTGATGGATCGATTAAAAAAGAAAACATTCTCGATAGTCGATTCAATTGCCTATCACTACACTTCGATTTTGAGCCGGGGGAACCTCCCGGGGAACCTTTAAAATAACAAAGTGTATCAGATTAATTATCTAACTTGAAAAAAGATAAGGTATATACACCATATTTGACATGCTAACAAAACAAAACTTTCTATAAAAAGCATAAATTTATTGGCTTATTCGCCAATTGAACCAGTGCTTGTCAAGGACATGCTTATCAAAAATGTATTGACACACCCTTTATATCTTGATTTTAAGACATTCTACTCTTGAATTTTATTTTTCAATAGTTGTAACTTTTTAAGATTAAAATATTACGATAAAATAAAATATTTATAATCAAATAAGAGATTAAAAAAGTATCAGCACAGCTGGGTTTGTTTACAGATACGCAATCATCCTGGAAAGGTTTGCGAGATATGTAAAGGTTTGTGAAGTGATATACTCTGTTGCCGCATTCTTTCGTTTTAAAATTAAATAGAGGAGGGTGTTGCTAACAGTTTCTCAGTAAATGTGAAATTGACGACATACACAGTCAATAAAAATTGTGCGTACCTTTGTTTGGTAATGTTTGAAGTGAACTGGATCTCACGAAACCACACCACGCCACTGATTGAGACTGGAGCAAACTGAAGCACACAAAATCTTTCACTTGACCAATGTGGCTTTTTTTCCCCCATCCACCACACCACCCTACCTGCGGGCCTCGCCACTTTAGTAAAATTTTGTACAATTAAATTCTTCATGCCTTACCTGGTTAAAGGTGAAACTAAAGGAAGTAAAAGGTTTTTTCTTCTTTAAAACTCTTCTATCCAAAAAGGTACACTAATGAGTCTCCCCCCTTGCTAGTTTTTCCTTGACCCCTGACCCGGACTAATTACATGAATAATTCAGTGAATAAAACATTTCATACAAAATTAAGTAGAACAATTAATAGGAAATAAATAAATGTATGCCTAAAAATCATACACAATGCTTATGCTAAACCATTTATAAGCTCTGAAACTTTTTTTTTGTTTGTCAATTTGTTCAAGCCTGTTTTTTGGGAACTAAGCGTTTTGTTTTCCCTTTCTTTTTCTTGACGGGGCATATAAAAATTCTGTTTGCTACATCATGCCCGTTAGCATTTGCATCACATAGTGATCAGGAAGCAACCAGTTAGCTTTAGCCCTCTCTTCAATTTTAGTGAAGAATTTGAGTCTACTTACCCTTATTGCTGCTTTCCCATCTTGTTTGCCATCTTGTATCTTGTATCCACTTTTTGTAAACTGCAAACATTTTTGTTTTGGAACACTTTTGAACCAAACCAGTTCATGATCTTCAGCTTATCACAAGTTTGGTTGTTTCCTATCTTTTATTTGCCTAAGACCAGTGTGGCTTATCCTCACTTGAACCTTTACAAAAATTCACTTTAAGGACATCTGGCACCAGCTGGATAATTTACAGTTTTACAAAACCATTTGGGTCAGAAAATTAATAGTTTGAGGTAAAAGAAAGCTACAAATTGTAGGCAATAATGCTGAAAAGAAAGACACACTTAATATATGAAGATTTTTATTATTATGTTTTTTAATTTAAATTATTTATTAATTGTCTGCAAGAGTGTGTTCTACTTGGCTTTTATAATATAATTGTATGTTTTTTTTCAGGGCCTTAACAAAAACGATGGACCATACCAGTAGTGACTTCATCAACAACATAAAATTCACTGATTTTTGTGATGTCTGTGATAAAGTGAGATCCAAAAAGGAAAAGAAGATAAAATCTGAAATCTTAAGGCGGTACATACTGTATTTGCGTACAAATTCCAAGGTCTGTATCAATTGAAAACAAGCTTATTGGTTATTAACATGATTAGCATCGTGCCTTACAACTAATGTGCATTTGTATGTTTAAAAAAATCAAGGGTGAGGCCAATTAGAAGGAAAATCTCAGATCCTTCATCGAGTCTTTAAATATTCCCCATCGTTCAGAACTATGAAACTTTAATTACTAATTTAAAAGGTTCGCAATATGAAGATATATTCACAACTTGATGAAACCTATGAAATTAAAAATTCAAATTACACAGCACCAGATCGAATAGGACTAGGGCATTCTATAGCAAAAATATGTTCTTAATCTTACTGAAGGGAAATTTAGATGGTGATAAAAAATTGCTTCAGCTTTATTAACAATATTCCAAAATAACATTTCATTTTGTACAATTTTACTTCATCATATATTGCAGGGAGGTAATTTATACCAAATAATTAGGTTGATGTTACCATATTATGATCGGGACAGAGGCTCTTATGGAATTAAAGAAGATAAATTAGGGCACATTTATGTCAAAGTTCTGGATCTAGCAAAAACAGGAAAAGATGCTGTAGCGTTATTGGAATACAGGTATCAAACCTATCGTAAAATTGTTTTTGAGGATTTGAATTAAACTAAAGTAATTTTTTTTTTGTCAAGGCATCCAAACAGATTTAAATTTAATCAAGCTGTCACAGATTATGCTGATATCGTGTATGGAGTTATGAAATCTAGAAGCACTACACCTTCCAATTTAACAATCGCTGATGTCAACAAAGCTTTGGATGCCATTGCTAAATCTTTTGCAGAGAAATCTTCAGGTCAGTTGCATAAGGAAAATAAATAAATACAAATTAAGTATTAAAAAAATGGACTTATGTCATACATGTATTCAGAAATTCAGACAGTTTTGAGCAACTTGACATCAATTCTAAGGAATTGAGGAACTGAAACATGTCTGGGCACATTTAAACAATCAACTAATTTTGATCAAACTTATGTCCTAGTTCACTTATTTGATCACAGTCCATTGCAGTTTATCAGTTCTAACTTCATTTTTATTTAATTTAACTTTGTTTAATGTTTTAGAAGCAAAATTGGATGTGTTTTTTGATACGTTTATTGGCAAAATGTCAGCTAAGGAACAAAAATGGATAATACGCATTATTTTAAAAAGTATGCACTTTGGAGTTGGCCACAAACAAATGTTATATTTTATACATCCAGATGCCTTCAAGTTCATAAGCACTAATTTTAGTTTACAAAAGGTAATTTTGTATTTCATACTTTCAAAGGTTTTCTAATGAAAAAAATACAACATAATATAAAACAATTCACAGTTTATGAATTTTTCCATATTGCACACTTTATAATTATTTTGCTTATATTTGTGAGCTATTTAGTATGATAATTTCTAGCTGTGTTCAACTTTGGGAGATCCAAACGTTCGCTATAACGAATTTAACATCAATCTATTTGAAGCTTTTCGTCCGATGCTTTCTTCAAAATGTAACATTGAAACTATCAATTTTTCCGGAGACCATTTCATTGAAACTAAACTGGATGGTGAAAGATACCAAATTCATTACTCAGATGGGGAATTCAAATTTTTTTCAAGGTATTTTACAAATTTGTCATTGTTTTAAATGTTTATGTTCACTATTGTTTCGCCTAGGAATGGATTTGAAGCATCGACATACATTTATGGATCGAATGTTTCTACTGGATACTTTGCCGCTTCTTTAAAAGAACAATTCAGCCCGCATTTCACCAGTTTTATATTAGACGGTGAAATGATGGCATGGCACAAAGTTAAAAAATGTCTTATAACTCAAGGTAAATGCAAAATATATATTGAAAAATTATAGGATCAGTTTAATGCTTGCTTATGCTTAATATTTTTTTTTGTTTTGTTTAATGTTAGGCAATTTCAGGGATGTTGGAAAAGTGAAAGTTGGTGGTGATGTTCAGCCTTGTTTCTTTCCTTTTGACATTGTGTACTGCAATGGTAAAGTGATAACAAATAAACCTCTTTTTGAACGAGTTGCATTATTAAAGCAGGTCTTTACTCCCAAAGAAGGTGTTATAATGGAATTAAACCGAATATCAGTCAAATCCAAGTATGATTTGTTGGTTTGGCAATTTAGACTATTTCGAATGAGTTTTCAGTACTAATAGTTAATATGATCTTGCAGTGATGAAATACTTGATGCACTAAATAAAGCAATTGAAAAGCGCGAAGAAGGAATTATTGTAAAGGAAGTCAATTCAATATATAAACCAAATGAAAGATTTAGTGGGGGCTGGTATAAAATTAAACCAGAGGTAATAGAAAATACAATGTATTAAAAACCAAAGTTAATTTTTTTTAACTTAGTACACACAAGGTGCTCTTATGGAGTTAGATGTTTTAATTATTGGAGGTAACTTTGGTTCTGGTCAACTAAAGGGGACTGTGAGTCGATTTTTGGTAGGATTGGCAGCTTCAAAGGACAGTGATGGTAAGTTTGTACAATACGGTTTCTGTTATTACAATTTTTTGTTTTGGATTTGCCTTTATTGGTATTAGCCATGTAATTTCAATTTGCTCACAGAGAGTATTTACAATATGCTGTATTTATTGAGTTTTAATTAATTATGTGCCTTTGGTATTATTTGTAAGCATTGTATGAAATGGGTTATCTGATACAATTTGCCTTTGTTCTTTTCCATAATTTTATTTTGATGTGTATCATCTCCAGGTACTCCCAATGAATTTCATTCGTTAACTATGGTATCATCTGGGCTCACATTTGATGAGCTTGATGAAGTACGAAGTAAATTGAATACACATTGGATTGCGAAAAAGAAACCACCGACAATGATTCAGTTTGGGCACACAACTCCAGATGTGCACATAGATCCAAAGAATTCCATTATTTTACAGGTAATTGACCAATTTACACCTCATTCAGATCTAATTACAGACACGACGAACACATTCAACAAGACCTAGGCTGCTCTTTATCACTCTCTTTCCTCTGAAACCTTCACTCCATCATCAGTCACAGGCGACCTCACTCTACCATTCAACAGTGCCACAGGACCATCATCACATCTTCCCTTGAACTTAAGGAATGCTGTTCCTATGCTTCGATTGAGTGTAGCACCCAGACTTTCTTTGGAACTCAATTGCATCCTTCTATACTCTTATTACCTCATCCTAAAATCCTATCTGCCCTGTACTTTCAAATAGTATCCTATAGTAGTAATAGTATAGTATCAAGTATCCTTCTTCCCCATTCATTATGCCAAAGCAGGTATTCTGCAAGGTAGCATTCTTGGTTCCATTTTCTTCTCAGCATACACTGCAGACATTCCTTTCATTGCTGACACAGTACTCTGTCACACTCATTTACGCTATGCCTAGGAGACTTACACCCTCTGCGAGGCCAGACGAGGTTACACGTGTTTTTAAGAGCAAAACCAGTTAATAAATTGTTAGTTAGATTTTAATCTATCACTAAATAATTTTCTGGTGTTTGGTGAATTTTCTTTCAAAGCATCATAAATAAATAATTTTTATTAAAACCCACAAATTTCTATAATTTTTTTACATTAAATTTAATTGGGTTTACATTAAAATAAGTACGTTGTAATAAATATAACAATAAAAATATTTATAGTTTGAAATAAACAACAACATACGAGTGGTTGTTTTTTTGTTTGAGTGTATTGCAAAATTCATAAAGAGAACAAAGTTGCTTGTAGCTGTTGTAAAATGATAATTAAAAAAGTTATTGTTTAAAAATCAAAGTTTTATATTATGCTTTTTGTAGGTTAAAGCATCTCAAATTATCAAAAGTAGTAAATTTAAATGTGGATTTTCGCTAAGGTTTCCAAGAGTAGAAAAAGTGCGTTTTGACAAGAGTTGGAAAGACTGTTTAACATCAGAAGAATTTTATACCATATACAATGTAAGCTAAATTTAGTGTTTGACCTAGTGGTACATTGTGGATTTATAAAGTAAGTTTTTATTTTGTTTACCTCAAGGAAACTGCAGGAATGCTCACATCAGGCCCGCTGAGTTCAAAGAGTGAACATAAAACACGGAAACGAAAAAATCTACATGTTTTACCACATTTCCAAAAGCCAAATTTAAGAGGAGTAGATGTTATAGCAAACCTATTTCAAAATAAAAGGATAAGTGTTACAACTGGTACCAAACAACACTCGAAAGCTGATATGGAAAAGTTAATTTTTAAACATGGAGGAAAAATAGCTGCAATGCCTGGTATATTTTGTAATTGTTCAATAATTTTAACACATGTATGCGTAAAATTATTTGTTAAAATATGTATTTATTTTCAGATTCAAAAACATTTTGTATTGTTGTCGGTGATAATAATGTCAGAACGAAAAATTTCATCTCATCTAAAAAACATATTGTGACCAATCACATGTGGGTTTTGGATTGTATTCAAAAGAATAAATTATTGCCTTGGGAGCCTGTATATCTATTGGGCATGACGCAGCTGTGTGAAAGTGACATAATGGAAAGGTTTGACATTTATGGCGATGGCTATTGGAAATGTGCGACGAAAAAAAGCTTAGATTTTTCCCTCAATTGTCCTCAGGTATTGAACAATTTCATGGTTTTTTTGTTTTGAGGTTTGTGGGACATATCTCTTCCTCCCTACTGGGTAAGCGACCTGTCAGATTTACGACCTTATTAAAAACAAACATAAAATTCCTTACACCTATTTTTGACTTCTATTCCTAATTTATGCTAAGACCAGCTTATAGGAGAATAAAATTGGTTGTTGTACCCCCCAATGCGACCATATTTTTTAATTTTTGTTATATGTTTATTATTTTTATTATTACTTTTATTGTTATTACATTTGTTATTAATATTTATTACAGTTTTAATTACATGGTGTAATTTTAAAATATTTATTAAAAATAAAAAATAGAAAAGTGCTCACAATAAAATGATCAAAGTCCAATCTCTAAAGACAAATAAAAACTAACCCTAATCCCGTGTAAAATGCATATCTAACCCTAAACCTAACCTAACCTAACCCTAACTAACCTAATCTAACTTAACTCAATCCAACCCATCCCAACCTAACTGAATCCAACCTTTTTTGTTAATTATAGAACTGGATCATCTGCTCAACAGCATCTCAGAATGCAAGCAAATAAATAAATTGTTTACGGAGATAGAGGACAAGTTGTTATTTGTTTTATGGGATTTTCACAAATCAAATGTGATTTGGAATTTTCTACTCTTGATTACTTCATAAATGAACCAGGGAAGGAAAAAAGCTGAATTCGAATAGGAAAATAACGTTTTTTCTTAATCAGAAGTTTTTCACATTTGTTAGTTGACAGCTAAAATGTGGGGCATGATGAGTAATAGTCATACTGAACATAGAAAATTATTTTAATTTTTTTATTTTAAATATTGTTATATTAAAAAGAAACTATTTGTAATGTTGTATGCAAAAATTTCTTCTAGATGATAAAAAGTTTGAAGAAACCTGTGTCACCTGAAGATTTGAATGAAATGTTAGACTTGTTATTAGACGATGCAAACTTTTATTCTTGTTTCAAAAACTGCTGCGCTTTCTTTGCCGAAGATCAGGTTAGTATTTGTAATAAAATTAACAGTCGTAATTTAAGAAAAGAAGAATTGGACATTAATATCATCATTTTGCTCATATTGCTTGAAATACAGTTTTAAAGTTCAGATCCTTAAATAGTACAATTGTTCTTGTATAATATTTATTGTGTTATCATTTTATTTTTTAATATTTTTCCATAATATTTACACAAGTAGTCAAGTATTATAGCAAAGCCGTTATTATATTTCAAAATCTTAAATTGACTAAATGTCATGTTAATTTAATTTGAATATATCTTTATGTGAAGGAGCATTATGAAATGGGACAGAATATGGCCAACTTATCGTTGAAAGAAGAAATGTGCTGCTTCAAATTCCTATCTGGTACAATTTCACAGGAAGTTAATATTGAAACGGACTACATCGTTGTACATAAACGGTCAGTGTGAATGTTACATGTTTTAAATTGTTTCAACTATTTTATAAACAATTCCAGGTACAAAATCAACAACACAAAATTATTCGATCTAAAAATTAGAGGCTCTTTCTCAACAGTGATTGTCAGTAATGAATGGCTCCAAAAAAGCTGGGAAGAGAAAAAATGGCTGGATCATTCCCCGTATATCATTACAGACTGCGAAGATATGGATGTTAACTGAATTGTGAATCATCTGCTAATAAATTATTACTATTTCATTGTTTGTTTTCTATAGATATTGTGATGAGTTCTTGTAATATATGTAAATTCCATCATTCTGGCTGGATAGGCTCCTTCAGCTGGGCACCTATTTGTATCATCTCATTTATTCATCTTATATACTTGAAGAATGACTTCCTGAAGGGGTCGAAGCCCACTATTGAGTCTGACAGACCTCTGTCTGGTTTGTTCCTCTGAAGGAAAAATCTGCAATGTCATTAAACACTCAAAATTTTTGTATAATTTGATTTAAATCCACTGTTATCAATAGTGTCATGAAATACTGGGATTGCTTTCTTATTAGTACAATTGTTCTTAATCCATTCTTTCTTTATCTAAAGTTTTGTAAACTGCTCACACATTACTCTGTCCACGTCCTAAATATGATTGTGTAATTAATTTAAAAAAAAAAATGGAAGAGAGTAATAAACAATAAATGGGAAAACAAATACAGAATAACAACAATAAAGTCTTTAATTTTGTTTATATAACAAATCATGGTTGACAATAATTTAAAATTTTCAAATTACCTTTGGCAAATTTTTATTCACTATTATGATAAACCGAATAAATAGGTAAAGTGCAATTACACATAAAATCTCAATCAAGATAGACCTCAGTTAAAAATGCGTATTGTATTCTGTTCATTTTAACCAACCACATTTTTTATATTTTAATATCAACATTTATGCAAATGCGTTTAATCCAGTAATTGCTCTTCCAAGAATTAGGGTATGAATATCATAAGTTCCTGGAAAAAATATTAACCATATAAATTTTTTGTTAAAACTTTTGAATGAATTTAGAGAGAGATGATAAAACCTTCATATGTATTGACGGCTTCTAAATTTTGCGAATGTCGTATTACATGATATTCATCGCTGATTCCATTTGCTCCTAGCATATCCCTAGCTGTTCGAGCAATCTCTAAGGCTTTGCCACACGAATTTCGTTTCAAAACTGATACCATCTCTGGTGTCAATCTGAAAAAATGTTAAATAATAACTAATTAGTTAAAATAGCTAAATTGATTAATTGGTTTACTTGTTTTCGTCTTTAAGCCGACAAACATGGAGGCAAGCATGTAATCCAAGGGCGATTTCTGTCAACATGTCTGCAAGTTTTTTTTGTACCAGTTGATTAGAAGCCAGTGGCTTTTTAAACTGTTTACGGTCTAATGTATACTGTCTAGCTGTTGAAAAGCAAAATTCAGCAGCACCAAGAGCTCCCCAAGCAATCCCAAGACGTGCTGAGCCCAAACAGCTAAATGGTGCCTAAAAATATAGAAAATTTAAATGTTTTATATATCATTTTGAATATTATAAATATTATCAAAAATTGTGGATTATGTAGGAAAAAAATTCTAATACTAAAAGTAAATTTGAAAGGTTAATGAGGTTTTTGTTTGAAGAAAATTATATTTTCAAACAACAAATGTACTGAGCATTATCTGGAATGGCTGCAACCCATGTACGCGCTTTATGAGATGCATACCTAGCTCTGTTGAATAAATAAAAGTTTAGTTTTAGCAATGCAATGCTAGGCTGCAAACTTCCTAACTTACAGAGTAACAACATTCTAAAATGATGGAAATAAGCTTCGCATACACTCTACAATCCTGTCCTTGCTCTTTCAGAGAGCAATTGGCTAATTCATTAAGAGAAAACCATTTCTTATACTGGTAGCTGTAAAAAAATAAACAAAATAGCTCAACATTATTTGCCATAATTATTCAGAAATCGTGAGATGCGGTCTGGTGTGATGTAGGTTTCAGAAAAACATTTTCTTTATCGTGCCAAAGTTTTGATCTTTATTGTGATCATCTTCAAGGCTCAAAGTGTTTGTCTTCTGTGTAATTGTGCCATTCTTGCATGTCGTGTTGAGAGTGCCCTCTCTGCTAGAATTAACGACATACATAAACCACAATACATTTCAAAAGAAATATTTTACACATAGAAATAACCACGAGCATCAAAAACATTAAGACATTAACACAAAAATTACACCAATTAAAACTGAGTGCCGCCAATATATACCTACAGACATCTTAAAAGCTTTTACACACATCAAAAAGATGCATAAAATGTCCATTTTTACCAAATTAAAAACAAACATCAAAAAATTGAACAACTTAATCAACAAACAAACACCTAATGGTTCCTAAACCTAACATTCCACTAGAAATCCAGAATTTCCTATCACTTGGTCCCAAACATTCCATTCCTTACAAAAAACAGACTTTCCAACAGCTAAATTAATTATGGATGTAGACTATGCAATCCAAAAATCCACAAAAACAGAGGAAGAAAAAGATATAACACGATCAAAATGCATTAACACAATAACAAATCACTTACAACACCTCACTACAAATCAACACAACATATCTCAACAAACGTATGTGGCACTCTCAACACGACACGTAAGAATGGCACAATTACACAGAAGACAAACACTTTGAGCTCTGAAGATGATCTCAATAAAGATCGAAACATTGGCACGATAAAGAAAATGTTTTTCTGAAACCTACATCACACCAGACCGCATCTCACGATTTCTGAATAATTATCGATTAACGTCACTAACCACCAACATTATTTGCCATATTTTTCTACTATCATTTTAAAATATGAATATGAATTTCTCAAATTTGAGATAAAAGCACAAAGGATTATTACTGAAGATAATTATACACAGAACAGTATGCTACTTAACACTGAAATTTGTAGTTATCAATACAATAGTTAAATTATAAATATCGAATCGTGCGTTCCTATATTTTTAGTGTAGGGCTGGGTTAAGTTAGATTAGGTTAGAGATAGGGTAAGAGTCTAAGAGATAGGTTTGGTTAAGTAGGGTTAGGTCAACGATTCAAAGTTTTTCTGTGAAATGTATTAATTAGACTTACTCCCATTCCAAGAGCTTTGGGAAGGAAATTTTCCTCTTTAAGCTCAATGTTGTCCATATGTATTGTTCCTGTTTCTGATGCTCTTAAAGATTGTTTCCCTATAATTTTACTTGTGCTGAGCCCTTTCATTCCTCTTTCTAAGACAACTCCTTTGACTCTTCTGTCATCTTTGTCTCTGGCCCAGACGACAAAAACATCAGCTATTGGAGCATTGGTAATCCTATAAAAATAAACACAATTAAAAAATGAATTATTTATTGATTTATTTGAATTAGAATTTACCATGTTTTTGTTCCGTTCAAAACATAGCATTTGCTTTCTTTTGAATATTTCAAGTTGGACTCCATGCCTCCTGCATCACTTCCAAAATTTGGTTCTGTCAGTCCAAAGCAGCCTACTAATTCTCCAGAAGCTAAAATTCATTTTTCAATGTAACCAGTGATCTTAAAATTACCATTTAAAGAAGATATGAGACGAAAAATTTTGTTTATTAATAAATTGAACGACATGTTCACTTTAAGTAAAACAAAAGGAAACAAATCTTACATAAACTAGTTTCATCTGTAATAATTAGTTCACATAAAAATACATATTATTGAAAAAATTATAAAAACACATACAATAGTTGACATTAAGGATATTTAAATGATAACTAATTACCTAGTTTTGGTAAGAATTTTTGTTTTTGCTCCTCACTTCCATATTTGTAAATTGGAAACATTACAAGTGATGACTGAACACTGAAAGCAGACCTGTAAGCACTATCGACTCTTTCGACCTCTCTGGCTAAAAGGCCGTAAGCAGTACTTGAAACGCCGCTGCATCCGTAGCCAGAGATGGTGCAGCCAAGTGCTCCCATTTCCCCCATTTCTCTCATTATATTACGATCAAAGACTGAAAGAAGTTAAGACAGTTTAGTGAAAACGATTGGATTTGTACAATAGAAGGGACTGCATTCAGTTTATACCTTCATTTCTATTAGCTTGAACAATACGAGGCATGAGTTTTTCCTGGCAATAAGATCTGAACGAGTCCCTCAATAAGATCTCATCTTCGTTCAATTTGGATTCCAAATTTAATGGATCTTCCCAATTAAAGGAGACTGCAAAAAACAAATACATATAGAAAATTTTGAAATATTGTGGCAATGTTAAATTTAATTTTAAATATATTTTTTTAAACTTTCTACTATGCTACAAATCATGAAATAAATATGAACTAATGACCTGAATACACAAAACAATGATAAACCCCGAATGTGACCAACTTATATACACTCCAGTGGCATATATATAGATTGGCAGAAACAAGCCTGTGCAGCTATTGCCAGGAAGAAGAAGAGACAGCAGAACATGTTCTCTGTTAGTGCACACACTTATGTAGGCTAAGATTCCTATTCCTGGTAGAGGAAAAGCCTGGCCCTGAAGGATACACATGGGAGTCCTTGAAAAAGCTTTGAGATCTGGTAAAAAGTCAAACTTAATAAGGAGCTCTAGACAACAATGTACAATAGACCAATACTGGTCATGATGCGCAGGTCATAAAGAGGCCGACTCCTTCTTTAATCTAGTGCCCACAATGCCACATTAAGAATCCTGTTAGGATTTGAGCTTACTTCCTTTGATGCATTTTATTGTTTCGTTCTTTTCAAATCTTGCCAGGAGGTTTTCGGATCATATCTGTCCAATGAGTAAACTCCATTGTTCCCTTACTTCCACCATGTCTTCTTTACTTATATGCTCATGTGGATCCCTAAACCACAAAAGTCGTCAGGGTCTATCAGCAATGTAGAAGCTTTCCTTGCAAGGGTATCTGCTTCTTGTTCTTCTTCATTCACTTCTTCTCCTGCATGTCTTGTCTTGTCTGAACGCTTTGTTTAAATACAAATGTCCTGTTCTTGTCGTCTCTAGGGGCCATGAGTATCGGATATTCTCTTATGGTGTTCTTTCTCTCCATTTAAGTTTTAATCCTTTTGTATTTGTATAACTTTATCGAGCTAGACAATCTCAATGTGAGTATCGGTTTCACCAACATGGTGTACATCCAAGGCTGGATTTCTAATCTACACCCCCAACCTGCTATCCTTCATACTATTAATTTTTTTTAGTGGTGTCAATATGTTCTCTTAAGAAGCGGGTTAAAAAATAAACTATTTCGTCTATATATAAATGGAAAACACATGTTTTTAAAACATAGCGGAAAAAGAAGACCTCAACAGTAAGAAAAACGCTGTTTTTTCAAATAATCTATAAATGTGTGAATAATTTTTTGCACAATGTAAAACCCAATTATTTTATAACAAATGTATTGTTGAATCGTTTAGTTAAAACTGAGTATATTAATAATTTTTGGACCCTCTGTAGCTGCACAGAAAAATCGGCCTAAATTAAACTTGGGGTGTTTAACACAACTTCCTTCAGCAATTATAGTTTCTCGTGAAATTTAAAGCGCTTCAATTACATCATCGGCCGAAGGAATAGCGAGGAATAGTTTAAAAAACATAAAAATTTTAAATTTTAGACTTCGACAGAAGGGAAATTTCGACGAGGTGAGTTCGAGTTTGCAACACTGATGGTTAACAGTACAGAAACCAGTTGGTATGTTCTGCAGAAAGTTGTTTATCTTTATTTCTTTCCTATTTGTATTAAATCAAAAATACACCTTTGTTTAATGAAATTCAGTAATAAATTTAACCGATTTATATATTTAATTGGGTTCAAAATTATTTAGAAAAATAGTATCGTACCGTTTAAAGCAGACGAGAACAGTCTTACTGCCGTACCTGGATTTTATTGTTAAGTATTTTTGTTTTTAAGATTTAAAAAAAAAATTGAATAGTAAGTAGAAACGTAAATAAAGGATACTGTTTGCCGGCAGGCTCCTCAGTATTTTCGGGGCGAACATTGTCAGCTACGCCTTCACGCGTCAACGCTCAATACTAAACTGAGGAAGATTATTTTAGTCGAATAAGGTGGTAGCAATATAGAAAAAAAAAAGAAAAAAAGAAGGGAATAAGGAATGATAAATCACTTGGGAGTATGTTTCCAACACTTTAGACGTTATCTTTGATCAAATTCGTTATCTCATACGTTCTTCAATTTATTCTCAGACGTAATTCGACCTTCAAAGTGTGTTGAAGGTGGGATGACCATGCGGACGGTACATCACGCTGTTCCGGTAACACAGAAATAACAAACACGGCTGGTGAGGGTTACTGTGTCAAGAGTCCAATTTATTTTTTATTAAATAAATTAATATCTATGCATTGAACGAATTAGTAAAAGTCCTCGGAATATTTCTTTCCCTATCACAAGTTCTGCTTTCACGGGCCATGAAAAATTAAAGCTGCTCTCCAAATTTCCCACTGCTTAGGCATGTTTACAATCGTGAAATATATGCTTCTAATCTTGGACTTCTTTGTCATAAGAATCTGCTACCAGAATCCTTCCCTAACCACACCTAACCTAATCTAACCTAACCCTACCAACCTAACATTTTTTTGACATGTTGGTTTGCCGAAAAATAGTTCAGGGGATGTGTCCTGATCGACCTTTACTTGGCCAATTTATCTTTCAGAACTTGGCTTTTCCTTTTCCAGGAGTATGAAGGCAGAGAACATGTCCTTCTTTCTATTCAGGTTTGTTTTAGCTTTTCTATACGCTTCTGGAGTCTGCAGTGTACTATCATTCTCGTTCTAACAATTCGTAGGTTTAGTTTTTCTGCCGTCAGTTTCTGCGATGGTACTTTAATGAACTTTTTCGCAGGACTCTGCAAATACGTTCCCATTGAACCGACCACTTATTTCCAATTTTTGTCTGATGCCTTTGTCTTCCTGTTCTTCCACGTTCTTCCTACATAGGCTTGTTTTTGTTGCTCCGAGTCCACATGTTTCTGGAGTCTGCTGTCCTACTATCATTTTTGTCTTGGTTTAGTATAATAATAAGTTTATTGCACCAACACATGAAAAAAAATAAAAATTACAATAATTCAGACAAGAAACTAAACTTAATTCGGCAAGGTAACCGTCTGCCGGAATTTGGATTAATTATTAACTAATCCTATAAAATAAACGTACAAATGCATTAAGCTAAATAAATACAATGGTATGGTAAATGTAATATTTATAACAAAATACTAAATAATAAACTAAATATTTATCAATGCATCGGTAGTATATTAATAGAAATAACCAAAGTATAAATAATACATAAAATAAGACACATATAAACAGAATTCAAGTCCAAAACAGAATAGAGAAACAGAAAAAGTACAGAAAACTGAGAAGTAAAAATCAATGAACCGGAGCTGAGACCGGAGAAATAGAAGTACAAATATCAAGAGAAAGAGCGGGGGAAAAGAGATGAGTAGTAAAAGAGACAAATAAAAGAAAATTATTTAGTTAAATTTGTTTACTATTAGCCTTCGATAAGCCCAGGCAGCTTTTGCATAATTGACTAAGTGCGTCCAATCTGGTCCGTTGAGCAATTTTATGAGTCTGTCCATTGACACGGTTCTTTCGCCGAACGCAGACAAACGACAGGGGGACAGAATGAGGCATTCCGCGGCAAAATGGAATATGTCTTCCTTTACCCGATAATTGCATAACTCACACTCCTGTTGGCTGAGGAGATCATACGGCTTATGCCGTCTCATTCTCGTGCTAACATTTCGTAGGTTTAGTATTTCTGCCGTTACTTTCTGCGATGGTACTTTAATGAACTTTTTCGCAGGTCTCTGTGCAAATACGTTTCCATTGAACCGACCACTTATTTTGAACCCGTTGTCTCATGGAGGGTAATTTTGTTGCTTTCCAAGAGAAGTCTCCATCGTAATTTTTGCTGTATTTTTCCGAACGACGAGTGTAGGTGGAAAAGCTATTACTCGCAATGATGAAGGTGGGGTAAGCATGACTATTCACCTTTTGAAAAGATGGTTCTTAATCACAGTTTGTTGTTTTCAACGATACGAATTTTAAGTATTAAACGCTCATCAAAAGGGTTGAAGGAGTTACAAACACGTCTCTACACATGAATTGAGAGCGAACAACGCGACCTTCCAATAAGAAACTGGTTTTTAATCCGCTCAATTCTGAACGTGATTTAAAACACAAATAAATATTACCCTAGTAAATACGGTAAGAAAATAATTTTAAATTAGTGATTAATTTGTATGCCAAATAATCTTTATGTACATGTTTAAAATAGGAGACAAATAAAAATCTGTTATATTATTTATGCATTTATCAATCTAGTTCTTCCCTTTATTGAAACTGTATCCTTTATTGAAACTGTATCCTTTATTGAAACTGTGCCCTTTATTGAAACTGTTGCATTTAAATTTAAATTGAAATTGAGTTTTGTTTCATTTAGATGGTCCTTAAATTTTGAAATTTTGTTCTATTTAGGAACAATGTTCTTTCACTCTCGTTTTAATTTCTCTGCCGCTTTTTCCTATATATTTGATATCGCAATCATTATAATTATGTTGGTAAACCACGCTTTTTGACAGTCAACCTTGTCTTTGGATTTTGGGTGGTTGTTTCTAAGTAAACGTGTACCTTTAAAAGCTATTCTAACACCTCGTTTAAGAATTGTACCTACTTTTTCTGATAGTAGCAACGAAAACCTACAGATTCATTTTTGGTGGGGTGGCTGAGTCCAATTATTGTTTCTTTAAAAGTTGTTTTATTCTTTTCTTCTCTTCTTTTATTTGATAAATATTTCTTGATATCCATTGCTTTTCGCCAAGGTTTTAATTATTTATAATTATTTTTATAATTAGGAAATGTTAATGGGAGTTTCAACGAACGGTTTATGAGCCAAATGAATCCAGCAGTTTTTTGGGTCCATCTAACCTTCACCCTACCTAACCTAACCCTAACCTTAACTCTTCCTAAGTTAATACGTCTTTAACCTTAAACTCTTTTGGCAATTTGACATGCCGCAAAAGAGTTCAGGGTCAATAGGTGTCCTGAACGAACTTTCTTCGGCCAATTTAGCCGTTTTCCCCAGTGGTTGACAGAGTTCTAGTCAAATTCCAAACGGTTTTGGTTGTCCAAGTAGATTCTTTTGTTGGTAATACCAAGCCTTCCGATTGCCTCCTTGGCACAGTCTCCGCTTGAAAGACAATGGCTTATATCTCAAGGCTTACATAAATTCTAGACCTTGGTTTATTTCCATAGATACCTGATATCCATACTTAGGAGGTATCTGTATAACAGATATATTCGGCATTAATTGAGATCTCAGATTTTGTTCAAACAATTTGTTCTGTTTCCTATTTCTTCCAGTGCACTCACGCAACCCCATATTGTCCGTGATCTTACTTCACAGGTGAGCCCACTGCTACGAGCGCATCTTGGCTACAAGAGATATTTTGCCTTTTACTTCCAGAATCTCCGGCACAAATCTCAATGGACACGTCTTCTGCAAGAAATGTTTTGCCTGTGACATTAATAACGTAGACGACGTTTAACACCAAACTAAAATCATTAAAAATTTAACATCAACCAGACAACAATTTATCACATTGAATAAGGGCTAAAAGAGCAATTAAAATTTGAGGGTGAGAAGCTTTTCACGTACAAGAATCAATGATGAAATAGAAAATGGGTTTTCATGCGAGGCAACAAACCGGAGTATTTAAACTTTTAAAAAACCGTGCACCAAGTAGGTGAATTTATTCATACAATTCATTCTCTGTCGTCTTAATTTCTCCAACTGAATGGGGTTCAGATAGTCCAACAGAAACAAAAAGAAAAAACCCTTCATACATGAATTTCAAAAGAGTTTCATGTCAAGTAGTGCTGATAACTAATTTTGTTTATTTAGATGATGTAACAGACTTCAAGAGCGGATAATCAAATAAAAGAATTTATCACATTAGGTGAAACCTACTTCAAAACTGTAAACATCACCTGGATGGAACCATGCACGTCAACGAAAAACAAGACGATGCATGTTTCTATTATACTTAAAAAAATATATATATCTATTCGTATATGAGGTCTGTGGGGTGATGAATCAGCAGCTTACATTTTTTGGTTTGCCAATCCTAGCACAGAAGATGGCGAAGAGTTGAAACGCGTCTGACTGTTCCAAAATGTCATCCACATAGCGAGAGGCCGACAAAGACCCTTCACGAACAACAACCAACTCTGTGCGACTCTCCATTGAAATTTCCGCCCCCACAGAGCTATGTTAGCTCTGGGAAAAATTACAGGCTTCGTACCTTCCACGCCCATCTGGAGATCGTAGAGCAAATCTATACTCACCTTTAAAAATACAGCAGACCAAACGTCCAAAGACCAATGGCTGTGTTCTCGAGCAATGCGAGCATCTCTGTGTGCTCTGGTTTGACCCTCTTACGGGGCGAAAAGCCATCATTCCATATTGATTTAATGTTCTTCGAGCAGTGCGTTCAGAAATCTGGACACCTCGAACTTCCTGGAGCTTGAACAACATTAAGGTGCTGGTTTCGCAACATTCTCAAAGTCAACAACAACAAACTGTCATCCTGTGGTTCTGCTACTCTAGGGCGTCCAGAACCGAACCTTCTATGGTAGGACCCAGTTTATCGAAACCGTATAACGACGTCTCGCAGTGTTTCGTAGGGAACTCCGATGGCAATAGTAGCATACCTGATGGAACGTCCATCATCACTAAGGGTCACACCATGCGCAACATCCTCAGCACAAAGTGGCATTTTAAAGTTTAAAAATTGAAATTAAGAAAACAAAGATGAAAACTAAAGTTTATTGCTTCAGAATTCAAACGAGACAGAATAAACATTTCAAATTCCGTAAAAACTATACACTGAAAAATTCTTTATCCTTGTTTCGGATTGGTTTACCTCTAATATTAAATATTTCCAATTTAAAACATAACATAAACAAATATTTATTGGTACAAACAATGAGACATATTAAGGGCATAATTTTTTTTATCGAGAAAATGAAAAGAAATCAATTGGGTGGAATTTTTTGCCTGTCAGTATACATAAGAACAAGACAAACATTTTTGTACTTACTGATTTTTGGTCAGAGGCAT